TTTTTTCATATCCTTGTTGCTCCCACTTTGTGTCTAGGCTTGGTTTTAATTCTTATTAAAATTTATTTCGTGCAACAACTTCCCCAGCCGACCTATCAAATAACAAACATTCAAAGCACACTTCATACATTTAAAAAACTTGGTGTTTTTTAACGTTGCAGACCAGTAGGTCTATAATATTTCTATTACGTTATAGCTTTACTGGTCATTTTGTTTTTTACCATTAGTCGGATAAGTCATAAGCACACGGGTCTAAGTTAAACATGTTTTTCATAGACTCATGACGGAAAACAACTTTGCTCAGTAGGCATTGTTTCAGCCGAATTTCTGATATTCTTCTAAACATTAACGGTTTTTTCAACGCTAGAGTTAAGTCTACAAATTGGCGACCACCCAGCAGAGTTTCTTCCAGGCATCTCTACCGCCCCCCCTCCCCGAACGAAATGGAATTTATATAGAAAATATATACTTTTGATAGTGTCCGCCCCCCCCCCCCCCCCCCGAAAATTTCAAGTGCACCCACGAAAAAAAAAGTCTGGAAGAAACATTGCCGCCCAGAAAGCCCTACAAGAGCCCCCAGTTTGGGAACCCATGATTTAGGTAAATGGTTTTAAAACAGAAAGCGATGACAGCTGATGTTGATACTAGAGGACAGAGGGCGCCCTTTTTAAAAATGTACTTTATTAAATGAAAAACTCACATTAAGGTAGCCTTTGTTGTGTAAATAACGATCACTTAACTAACAAAAACAAAAAAAATTGTTGGAAAATTAAATTTACTAACCTGTGAGAGCGCCGACCTTCGTAAGGACACAAGTAAGTACAGACCAACACAAGTCGATGAGGTTAGGGTGAAACTATTTATATGTTCTCAATCACAAACACTCAGCACTCCCTCCCACATAAATTCCACATCACCTCATACCCTCCATCTGTCCCTAGTTTATGCAATCAGTGGAATTAACCTGTATTTGTATCACAAAAAACAAACAAACAAAAAACAACTCAACATTTCATAAATTCATGTAGATACAAAAGCTCATAAAAAATAATGTACACGTACAATAGCTGTGAGTGATCTGTTGAATGATCTGCACCTTGACTATTTTAACCGACTTAACATAAATACTCACACAGTTTTACAGGATCGAACATATTTCTTGCAAGAGACTATTAGTAACCAAATAGGACATGAGCAAGTTTCACAAGCCATTACTTAAAATAGCTGCATAGCAAGCATGTGTAGAATATGTGGACATTAAAAAAAAAACCCACATAAACTACAAATGATTGTAGATCCATCTTCACGAGTTTGGGCACTATTCACACCCATATGTCTGCAAGTACATAATCATTCCCATTCCGTTTATAACAAATTAATACAATGAAAAATTAAATTTGGAAAGAAATTTTAAAAAAAGGACACAGGCAATGGACACCAGCGAGAAAAGTTTCAAAGGTATTTGAGAGGTCCATAAATTAATTTAAAAATCTTGCACGGCGTAGTTACAATTAATATGGTTGTAAAATCCTGTCTGTCTGGTTTTTTTCTGACTTTACTAAAGATTGGATGTATTTGATGTTTTTAATATTTTCGGTAACTAAATAAAAATTAAAAAGAAAGCAAAAACAGTTTGGTTTTCACGTGTAATGGCGACATAAACAATGGCATCTTGTTATTCGATAGTGTACAATTTTATTGTACACTTTGTAAGCTAAAAATAGAAAAACTAGGTCATGGTGTTTAAATTTGCATTGTTATTTAAAAACTTTATCTGCAAAGTTTTGTAAACAAAAAAAACTATAAAGTGGGGCTGTCAGAAATCGATCACGGAGTTCCTGTACAGCCAATCAATGTTTGTCTTACGAAAGTGAAACATCGGGTTATAACTTAGGCTTGATGAAAATAAATAGAAATGTAGCCTTAAACTCAACACATTATTTTCAAGACAAGTTCTCTGGATCTGCAACTTGTATAGCATTGATTCTAAAAATATTAAATGTAACATCATTGTCCACCAGCCCACCGTACTAATCTAGCACTGGCAATGTCTTCTGATGTGGTAGTTTTCAGTGGGAACACCTCCGGCCGTCTTGTTGCGATGTCCACCACAGTTAAGATATAACGATGTCCCCGTTTAGATGGGGTAGCATAGATAAGATCAGGTCGATCGCTATTTTTTCAAATGGTTTGCTTCCCCAATCTGTAGGTTGAAGTGGAGCTACTGGCGGTTTGGCTGTACCCTTATTCCTATATATTTGGCATGATCTCATGTACTCTGTTATGCCTTAGTCCGTGCCTGGCCACTGAAATGTCGTCGCAATTATTCGTTTGGTTTGGTTTCGTTTTCCTCCTGCCCGTGTACCCCGTCAGTGCTAGGTCGTGCGTATGGTGTAAAATATGTCTTCTGTATTTCTAGGGTACCACCCGTTGGTTAACCTCGTAGTTATATCACATGAATGTTCTAAGCGGGATATTGTCTTTAACGACAAACGAGTGTTTTTTGCTGTTGTTACTGACATCTTCCGTGCAGTGTTTCTTCCAGACTTTTTTCTCCGGGGGGGGGGGGGGGGGGGGCACTTGAAATTTTCGGGGGGGGGGGGTAGACTTTCTTCGGGGGGTGGGGGCGGACATTGTTAAAAGTATATATTTTCTATATAAATTATATAAATTTCATTTCGTTCGGGGGGGGGGGGGGGAGCGGTAGAATTTTTTTCGGGGGGGGGGGGGGGGGCCGAAGAGATGCCTGGAAGAAACTCTGCTTCCGTGCCTATACTAATACTTTTTGTAGTGGTAAATCTTGCTGCTGCTTTTCTTTGAAATGTGTGTACTTATATATTGGTTGCTGTTGGCTCATTGTCTTTAAAGTTTTCCCCGTTAACGTTACCCGAACCTAGTTCTGTTTGCTCACCCTCTTCCCTTTTCCTTGATTGGGCCCCTTGTTTCCTCCACTTGTATTAGCCCCAAATCACACTAAAATCATGACGTTAATTTATAGATGAACCCATGGTTAAAATGTATGCCAATTTGCTTTGTAAGCTACACAAAATGTTAATTTTGTGACTTAAGGGATTTTAGAACTGTTGTCTTCGATTGAACATTAACCGTGTTAAGGGTAGGAATGTGTAAGCAATAATTCAATGGGCGAAAATCTTGCAAAATAAAAGAACAAAGAAAATCAAACGCATTGCCTGAACTTCAGACAAAAGAAAAGAATCTGACCCCCCCCCCCCCCCCCCACACACACACGCGTTATGAACACCACTTTGTAGCATACTTTTGTTAATAAACCGGGAGTGATCTCACCTAAACTTTCTCGAATATTCTAATATAACACCACGGGGGATGGCAACTCGGGATATTGATATGATTTTCAATCCATTTTTACTTTCTCGTATATACGAAGTGAAGAGAAAGTATTGTAATCGTGCACAAAAATCACTTGAAATTTTAACAATTTTCACCGCATTACACCTCAGTACTTCATCACATCCGAAGTATAGAGGACTTATTTTAATCGGGCAAAAATTATCAATCCAGATTTATCAAAATTAAGAGGTTTTATGCGAAATCCAGTCTGAAAAACTGGGCTTTGCAATTCTGTCTGTATGTCTGTGTGTCTGTGTGTGTCTGTGTGTAAACACGATTACTTGAGTACCGTTACAGCTAGGTTGATGAAATTTCATATATAAGTATTTTACCAAAATCGTAGATCCGTATCAACTTTTGAGCGATTTCCGATAACCGGAAGTGTTTTTTTTTCTGCTTTGAATTTTTCAAAAGCCTATAACTTGAGTACTATTTCAGATAGATACATGAAATTTCACATGTAAGTAAAAGATCTAATTCTCTACCTTCTGTCAAATTTTGAGTAATTTCCGTTGAACGGAAGTAGTAATTTATGCTACTTCCGATTTCTCAAAAAACTAATGTAAATTTTTAAAGTACTAATAATATTGCGCACTATTATGCACTTTTTTATTTGGCGTTCACTTGGTGTGCAATTCTTTTGTCTACGAGATTTTATTCTATTTTTTAAAACTTTAAGTATTTAAAATGGATTAAAAATCATGTTTATAGCCCGAGTTCCCAACCGCTGTTGTTATATAGAAGAATATTCGAGAAAGTTTAGGGGAGATCACTCCTGGTTTATTAATTACGTAAACTTTAAAAAATAGAATAGAATCTCGTAGAAAATAAGAATTGCGCACTAAGTGAATGGCAAACAATATCAGTATAATAGTGCGGAATGTGAGTACTTTATAAATTCATTTTAGTTTTTTGAGCAGTCGGAAATAGCGTAAATTACTATTTCTGGTCAACGGAAATTACTCAAAATTTGATAAAAGGTAGAGAATTAGATCTTTTACTTACATGTGAAATTTCATTTATCTATGTGAAATAGTACTCAAGTTATAGGTTTTTGAAAAATTCAAAGTACAAAAAGTTCCACTTCCGGGTATCGGAAATCGCTCAAAAGCTGATACGGATCTACGATTTTGATATAATACTTATATATGAAATGTCATCAACTAGCTGTAACGGTACTCAAGTTATCGTATTTACACACACACACAGACACACAGACACACAGACACACATAAACACAGACATACGGACAAGATTGCAAAACTATGTTTTTCCGACTCATGGAGCCATAAAACGTCGAGATTTGCAAAAATCTCGATTTTTTTTTATTTTTTTTTTGCACGAATACAAGACTTTCTCTATACTTCGTATATACGAGAAAGTAAAAAAGGGATGGGGTTAATTGAATCCTTAAGCGTCGTTTAACAAAGCTCAAACGAATTTTTCACGAAATTTCCGCCGAGACCATCAACGCATGACGTCAGCGATCAGGATCTAATCTCAAGTGTTGGTGTGTCCAACAAGCGAAAGATGATTCACATCCGCAACTTTCTCTCATTGGTCTTTGGTTGTCGCTCACTTAACGCTAGATGGTGAGTGCAGGACACACAAAAAAAATAAACAAACGAAAGTCATTCAAGAAGGAAAAAACAAACGAGGATATACATTAATTACTGACAATGGATAATCAGCAATTACATAATTATTTGGATTTTTCTTTTTTAAGTTTTCTTTTTTAAGTAACTATTTTAAAAGATCCTACGAAGTTAATATTTTCAAGAACGGTTATGTAATTTAAGTAGTGTGTAAATATTAAAATTAAAAAAAAACAGCCGAATATATTTGAACAGTGTAAAGGATTTGTGTCAGTACGGAATTAAAATGGCTAGAAGAAGCAAAACAGAGTGTGATAAAACAGGTTAGATTTTTAATATGACATTATGTAAGTACCAGGACTTTATGTTAGTAGCTGGACAGTATGTTAATTACAGTAGAGCACATTTTGTTAGTTATTGTACAGGATATTATATTTGTTATTGTTTGTACATTGTTTTATTGGCTGAGCAGGACATTAAGTATGTAACTGGACACGACATCATGTTGTTTAATAGGAGATACGTTTTGGACACACGAACAGAAAAAATGTTTAGTTTGTTTAGAGGCTTAGACAAGTTTTCTGGGTGGAGGGGAGAGTAGATAGAACGGCAACACGATTTCCTCAATTTGGGGCCCATGTATATATACATTTAGGTGAGTGCACACAGTAATATGACGTCATTGATTCTCGAGTAAACATTGAATAAAAAGGCAATTTTGTCTAATCTAAGTGGTTTGCGTGAAGAGTTTCTTTCATACAATTCTTCGGGTAGGGGCGAAGCCCCACCCCCCGCGTAAGAACGTCTGAGCCCCCCCCCCCCCCCCTCCCTAACTCAAAAGAAATTTCTTCATCGATACTCTATAATAGAATTACCGCCTAATTAATGTGTCTAATCTAAAAAGTGGTTTTTTTGCAATTTCTTTAATGCAATTCTTCGGGTAGTGGCTAAGCGCGACACCAGTGTTTCTTTCAGACTTTTTCCTCCCCGGAGAGGGGTGGGGGTACTTGAAATTTTCGGGGGCGGGGGGTAGAATTTTCGGGGAGGGGGCGGACACTGGAAAAAGTATATAATTATATTTCGTTGAATGGGACGGTAGACATGTTTTTGGGGGGTGGGGGGGGGGGGTGGTTTTAGTTTAGAGAAAAGAGACAGCACTATCAGCCTAGCGCCCGTTGTATCCTTCCTCAACGGGCCATTTTTCTCGTATAAAAGATCTACATATCGTCTTAAATGGGTAATGGGAAATCGTTTAATAGATAATTGAAACGTTTATCGTCAATCAAGCTGTAAACTGAAAAATGTGGTCGTTGTATCGTCCCCACAACAAATTCTTTGATATGTGAATGATTGTGGCTCCAGGCAGGCATATTATTTGGACACCAACTATATTACACATATGCGGAAATTGTACGACAATTTTAACTATTATAAAGTTGTGCTCAATAACTTAAACACTGAAAACTTTGGAATTTGCTTTGATTAAATCAGCCTATATCTAAGAAAAAAAAACTATCATAAAAAGCTGCTGTAAAAATATTTAATGCTGTTGTCAATGCTTTTGGTTCTAAGCGAACTATCCCAGTTTCTCTTTCTTCTCACAAATTTGATTTGACGGCTATGCAGACGACTTGGGCTCTGCTGGCGTCTCATTCCGTATTTATGTTCTACAACCAACAGCACACGAAGTGAAATATACTGTCAGCAATTTTGTACCAGATTGCACTCAAAATCCTCAACAATTCTAAAGCTAACCTCCAATACTCCACAAGAAATTTGCATGTTATCTTGAGAGAAAAATCCATGCATTTCTGGATGCCTTCATTAAACAGCTGTAAGGAACAGACGTTAACTTCAATATGAATGTCTTTATCATTTCTCAAGAATCTACAGATGCTGGCATAAAAAAGCGCCTTCAGTTTCTAAATGGCTCTCGGGAAGGGGTTAAGGGGCTCTTCCCATTCCTTCACACCAGCTACCCCACCCAGTTTATTTTTACTTAATAGATAATGACATATGAAAGTTTTTGAAAATATGAAACAGAAAACCACTCAATTTTACTTCTTCGGATAAAGATAATTACGACTGTATTTCTTTTTAATTATTTATTAAACGATAAGCTTATGACATAATTTTTACATTTTTGCCTGAAAGTATTTGTCAAAAAAATACTATTTTGCGTGTATTTTTATATCTTTTGAAAGATTTTGATAACAACTCTGTTGAAAGCCACACCGATTTATTAAGGAAGAAATGTGTTCAGTTTGATGAGTGTATTGACCAGTTGTATACACAAGCTAACGGAATCATAATAGGCAGCACCAAGGATGTGAACTTAAAGCCACTCTGTAGGTAAGTACTGTAGTAATAAGCTCACTATTGAAAACCTAAATTTTTAAAATATGTTTTATTACACTAACATGGACATGCAGTCACTCTTTGTTAATGTCTATAAATGCTAGTTTTAAGAAAATTAAATGCCTTTGCGCTCTTTTTTGTGCGCAGTTTTTAGTTTCGCAGGTTTCTGTTGCGCAGTTTTCCGTTACACATCTTTCCGGTCACCCATTTATTTTTTGTTACTAACCTGCTAAAAACGCAGTATATTATAATATTTCTTGACTTATGAAAAATTTGTATCACGCCTATTACATTATTATTTAGGCCTGCATATTACGAAGAGGGTACTAATCATTACTATTAATCATTTTTTTATTTAAAAAAACAATTGTTATGGGGAAACGGTTGGTATAGAGTCTATAATAATGTTAATTAACACTGCCTTTTTACTTTTCTACTTTGAATTCTTCAAAAGCCTATAACTTAAGTACTATTTCAGATAGATAAATGAAATTTCACATGTAAGTAAAAGAACTAATTCTCTACCTTCTGTCAATTTTGAGTAATTTCCGTTGACCGGAAGTAGTAATGTACGCTATTTCCGATTTCTCAAAATACTAATGTAAATTTATAAAGTATTACGCACATTTTATTTGGCGTTCACTTGGTGTACAATTCTTTTTTCTACGAGATTTTATTCTATTTTAAAAACTTTAAGTGATTAAAAATCATGTCTATATCCCGGGTTGCCATCCCCTGTTGTTTCAAATAAGAACATTCGAGACAGTTTAGGGGAGATCACTCCCGGTTTATTTGTAAAGTACTAATTTTCGAAACATTGATGCTATTAAAAAGTTGATGGATAGTTAAATTAGCACAAAACAAATATCGTATTTATTACTACTGCAATACAAGTCGTAGGGTCTCATGGGTGTTATAATATACGAGCCGACCTGCGGCGTATAATACGCCGCTATTTAATTGTTTTATTTTCTACTTTTCAGTAATTCATAATTTGTGAATTCGACAGTGCCAATGCTGCCACTGAAAATATTTGCTTTAAAACACTACCCCCCCCCCCCCCCTTGCCCCAACCCTGCACCCCCCCCCCCCCGTGAAAACAGCCTCCTCTTAGTTACCTCCCCTAAGTTACAAATAATTTCAAACTAAATTATCTGCCCTAATAGCCGTCACTAAACCCGGCTCTACGATAGTAAACATTTAGCGTGAACCACAGCTCACCAGGCCATGTGGGGGATGGGGGGTAGTGATAGAGAGGAGGAAGAGAGGGGACTGCAAGGCACGCTTGCAGCTTGTTTTCTAACGTCGCCAAGAAGAGAATTATATATATAGATTGATAAGTGTACCATACGCGACTTACATATATATATATATATATATATATATATATATATATATATATATATATATATATATATATATATATATATATATATATGCGTATATATGTATATATATAGAACTGAAGCCAATAGGGATGTCTTGGGAGATGTCAAAATTAATAGCCGAGGATAGGAAGAAATGGAAGGAAATGGTGGAGGCCCTTTGCTCCATAAGGAGCAAAGAGGACTAAGCTAAGCATGTATATATATATATATATATATATATATATATATATATATATATATATATATATATATATATATATATATATATGTAACTGGGGTAGGCCTAACTACCAGTTACAAATGATAACGAACGAGAGGCCGAGACGCGGTGTTGGTCTGATGCAACCGATAACAGGTGGCTTATTGGGTCGGGCTGATAACAACCTCAAAGCCAGCGCGTGCTATTTTGGGAAACGGTATTCAGACGGCCTGTCAACTTTGATGGATAGGACGCAGATGTTATTTTACGGTCTGTACGTTTGAACTACGCAACTGGTGGTCGGAGATCGAGTACAAGTATCGATTACGGAGAAATACAAGTACGGAGACGAGTACGGATACAAGGCATAAATAGGAGGGGACGGCAGAACTCTCGCTCGGCTCTCTCTTCCCGTTTCAGCGAGCTCTCTTCCATCTTCATCGCTCGCTTAGATCAGTCAGTCTGTGTGACTATGTCAAGTCGGTTATAGAACGGGTTAGCCGTATTGTGTTAAGGAGGATTATAGACATGTGGATTCAGTTATATAAAGCCTAGTGAAGGACTGTTAGGGGTCAGTTGATTCAGACTATTATTGAGAAGCATTCCTGTTGATTTATTGTGTTATTATGAAGCATTTCTTGATTCATGTAATAAAGGATCAATAGCGAACCTGCATCTTGAGTATCTATACTGTGGTCAATGTTGTCTAGAATGAGTGGTTAAACTCGTTAACACGTGGCACTACAGGCAATTAGGTCTCATTACATGTGGCGTTGCGAGCATGGTAACTGTTGGCTCGTTACAATTGGCGTTGTCGGCAGGATAAATGTTCGCTCGTCACAATTGGCGCTGCGATCAGGATGAATTCAACTAGACTTGCCGTTTAAGGCACCCATAGTCAACCTTGTGCATAACTGTGTTTAGTGTGTGTGTGAATTCGGACATTCAGGAACTGTGAAAATTGAGGAACGAGGAAAATTTTTTCATACACACACGGTAAGAAAGAACTCTCTTTTTTTTAGTACTTAAGGAAGAAAATGTCTACTCTGGACGAGAAGCAGACCCATATAGTGGTCCTACCCAGAGAGTCCCATATTAACAAATTTTACGGGGACGGAGACCCAACTTTAACCAACAGGTTCAGTGAAGAGGTCAAAGCGGCCTGGGCCTCGAGACATATGTCACCAGAGGAAAGATTAAGACTGCTGATGGGCAGTATAGGTGAAACGGTTAGGGCAGAGGTTAAGTGCCACGATAGGACCGTCCAATCAGATCCAGATAAGGTGCTGGATCTGATTATGGAGACCTTTGGGGAGAGACGGTCGGGAGTGCAACTGCTATCGGGATTCGTGGGCTTAAAGCAGAGAATGGCGGAGAGTGTGATGGAGTACTCACACAGGATGAACAGGGCCTTTGATTTGGTAAAGGGCAAATCACCGGACATTGATGTACGCCTACTGAGGGACCATTTCATCGAGGGGCTAGCAACCCCGATCTTAAGGAGAGAGTTGAAAGAGGAGGTCCACAGAGACCAGCAGTTGACCTTCCTTCAGGTCAGGAACTCAGCGATCCGCAGGTCCGAGGATGAGGACCAATCGAACTGTTCGGTGGACAAAGTCTCTGTGCCTGAACAGAGACAATCCCCACCCACAGGGGCCGACACGATGGAGACCATGATGGCTCAACTGTTGGCCCACCTAGAGAAGGTTGACCAACGCTTGAAGTGGTTGGAAAGCAGGTCAACAGCTGAGAATCAGGAAAAGAACGGGACAAAACAGGGACGGGTTGGACGGCCGCGTCCTGCCAAGCCATCACTCCAATGGACGGCAGACGGTCGACCAATTTGTTTGTCTTGTTCACAACCCGGACATATGGCACGGTACTGCCAGGGAAACGGTCGTCCTCTGTAAGGCAGGGCCAGGCTACAGAGGGGCGAGGTTATGGCCCAAGAAGCAAAATGATGGGAGTCTGTCCCGAAATGGTGATTACGATTGGGGACATCGCGGTGAAGGCAATTGTGGATACAGGCTCCCAGGTGACGACAATCACGGAAAATTTTTACACCAAATGGATGAAAGGAAAAGACCATAGGTTGAGGTCTGACACATGCATGCGCCTGACGGCAGCTAATGGACTAACCATTCCATACTGTGGTTATTTTCTGGCGGATGTCGTGGTGGCAGGACATAGGTTGAAGCAGGTTGGGGTGTTCGTTACGAAACACAACCTAGAGACAAATGTGTCAAATATACCTTGCCTGTTGGGCATGAATATTCTTGGCCAGTTGCCAGAATTTCTTACAAATATTGTCGGATCGACCACACCAGGTCGGGGATCCAAGTTGGCCAGGTTTGCCAAGACCAGAGGAAGGATATCAGTCCCGGCAAACACGGTCAAGGCAATCACATTACAAATTGGTGATAGAAGCGTGAATGGTGATGTGATGATAGAACCATGTGGCGCCGCACTGAGGGCAGGCGTCGTGTTACTGCGGACATACACATCAGCGGAAAACGGACTAGTTCAAGGGTTGGTAGCAAATGTTTTGGATGAAGAAATTTTTATACCACCTAATACTCTGGTAGGAGTACCACAGAACGTCGAGGTACTAAGGTCGGCACAGTGCATCGAACTGAGCAATACCAGCAGTAATGAAGTAACAATTAGGTCGGTCAATGTGACGGCCGAGGTGAAGAAAGAGGTTGGCCGATCATATACATTCCCGGAAACTGAGGACCCAAAACTAAATGAATTGCTGAATAAATACAGTGATATATTTGCCTCGTATGAGGGTGATTTGGGGTACACGGAAGTAATAAAACACCAGATACCCTTACTACAAGACAAGCCGGTGGCGCAACCTTATCGAAGATTACCACCGAGTCACTACTCGGCGGTGAAAGCACACCTGAATGATCTACTAAAAAAGGGAATTATTACAACCAGTACGAGTCCGTATGCGGCACCGATAGTAGTGGTAAAAAAGAAGTCAGGGGAGATAAGACTGTGTTGTGATTACCGGAAATTGAACAATATCACGAGAAGGGATGCATTCCCCTTGCCTCGTATTGATGAATGTCTCGATGCGTTGGGGGGAGCAAGATTTTTTTCTACCTTGGATTTGGCTAGTGGCTACCACCAAGTGGCCATGCACCCCAACGATCAACATAAAACTGCATTTATTTCTCCACTGGGACTGTACGAGTGGACCCGTATGCCGTTTGGTCTAACTAATGCACCTGCTACATTCCAGCGAGTAATGCAGAGTGCTATGAGTGACTTTCTATTTCAAATAATGTTGGTGTATTTGGATGATATTCTAGTTTACTCAAAAACTTGGGAGGACCATCTAAAAAGATTAGAACAAGTGTTTCTCCGTCTTAGGGAGATAGGAGTAAAGCTGAACCCAGACAAATGCTGCTTTGGTTTGAAATCGGTACATTTTTTGGGTTACGTGATTTCGTCGGATGGCATCGCCACTGACCCAGATAAAATTGCAGCTGTTAAAGAATGGAAACAACCAACAACTACGGTAGAGGTCAGGTCATTCTTGGGCTTTGCTTCCTATTATAGAAAATTTGTGCCGGGTTTTGCAAAAATTGCCGCACCATTGCATGACTTGGTAAACAAAATGACAAAGAAACACAGTAAGGAGAAAAAGAAAGGTAAAACAAAACTGATAGGTGAACTATGGACTGATGAATGCCTGAACTCGTTTAAACTCTTGAAAAAGGCCTTGACAGAGGCACCGATATTGGGATACGCGGACTTTGACAAACCATTTCGGTTAGAAATTGACGCCAGCTCTAAAGGTCTGGGAGCTGTGCTATCACAACAACAAAAGCAAGGTTTCAGGGTTATTGCGTATGCAAGTCGAGCTCTGAAGGGATCAGAGAGGAACATGACAAATTACAGCGCCATGAAACTAGAACTTTTGACATTAAAATGGGCTGTGACGGAAAAATTCAGGGACTATTTATTAGGTGCTAAATGTGTGGTATACACTGACAATAACCCCTTGAGTCACCTAAAGACAGCAAAGTTGGGATCCATCGAACAGCGATGGGCAGCAGAATTGGCACTCTTTGACCTAGAGATAAAGTATCGCCCGGGGCGGTCCAATGGCAATGCGGACGCCTTATCAAGGAATCCTTACGAGAGACCGGGTGATGAGGAAGAAACACTGACAGGAATATGTGAGGTCAGAGCGTCAACAGATATCCCTCATGGGGTACAAGTGATGCAGAACGGGCAGACCGGGGTGGAGCACACATCCACGGAACCCGAACATATGGACAGCAGTGATTTTAATTGCCTTAATCACCAAAAGATAAGAGATGCCCAGAGAACGGATAGTGGCTTACAACCGCTATTGAAACACGTCCAGGAACAAAAATTCCCAGGAAGAAGGGAAAGAGAACAATTTGGTCGAGAAACAAAGAAAATACTGAGTCAGTGGAACCGTCTCAGTATAAAGGATGGTGTTCTCATGCGGAGAATTCATGACCAAATTGATGGCACAATACACCAGGTGGTGGTGCCGGGACAATTACGAGGAGAAGTGCTAAGGTTGGCACATGACAGGGCAGGACACCAGGGTCAGGACAGAACCCACAAAATATTACGACGGAGGTGTTACTGGCCCAATATGGAAATGGAGGTCAAACGCCATTGTGAGGCTTGTGTGAGGTGTCAGCATGCGAAAATGCCAGTTGTCAAAATGAGACAGCCATCAGGACACCTACTAGCGACAAAACCACTAGAGATTGTGGCTATGGACTTTACGTCGTTGGAGCAATCATCGGATGGGACGGAACATGTGTTGGTAATGACTGATGTATTCACCAAATGGACGGTGGCGGTGCCCACACGAGATCAGACTGCCAAAACAGTGGCAAAGGTATTATTAGAACATTGGTTCATCAAATATGGCATACCAAGACAATTACACTCTGACCAAGGAAGGGCCTTTGAGTCAGAAGTAATTAACCAACTGTGCAACCACTACGGGATCAACAAATCTAGAACAACCACATTTAATCCGAAAGGAAACGGACAGTGTGAACGGTTCAACCGCAGCATGCATGATTTGCTGCGTACGCTAGAACCTGAACAGAAAAAACGTTGGCCTGATTTTCTCCCAGAGTTGGTATATCTATACAACTGCACACCACATGCCACAACCGGCTTTTCGCCATACATGTTGCTGTTCGGACGAGAGGCTCGACTCCCTCTTGATTTGTTCCTAGGAAAAAGGGAGAGTATGACTGGCTCATACACCGCACTGGAATATGTGAATGAACATATGAGAAGAATTAGAGAAATGTACAGGGTAGTACAGGAAAGACTAGAACATGAATCTCGGCGAAGGGAACCGCCGATACAGACGAAGGACCCGCCACTCAAACTGAATGACAGGGTATTACTGCGTAGCCACCCGTTAGGCAGAAACAAAATCCACGATCTCTGGGGACAGGAGATATGGCAAGTCGTGGAGATGCCTAAAGCAGCAGGTGGCCCCTTTAAGATAAGACCCATCGATCACGCCAAACCGGATCGGTGGGCGAATATTGCTCAATTAAAGAAATATTGGAATAGGCAAGAAGAGCAGTTACACACAGAGAAACCCAAGACAATTAGGGAACCGGAAGTTATAACGGAAATTCACATACCCATTCCGGAACCATATCACCATCAACAGAACAACAGCGATACGCAAGGGGAGGATACCGGCAACAATGAGGATCCCGGTCCCTCCAGAAGCAGAGAGACAGTAGACCATCAGATAAGTGGTCCGCGGAGAAGTTTAAGGAACAGAAGGAATACGAAATTTTTTGTCAGCAACCATCAATTCTTTCATGGTCGCGCTGGTATGAAAACAGACTGTTCAAAGAGCTATAGAAGTGAACTGGTGAAGGCACCAAATGGAAAGGGTGGATGTGAATTCTAGAACTGTTTTGTGTCTCAGGAAGATGATGTAGACACAGTTGATATGTGAAATAGGTGGAACTGTCAATCGTATACGAATGGAACGTCGTGGACAGTGAGTAGAACAATAGATTTTTTTTTACGACTGTGCGATTGACTTTGGAGGAGTGCACCTGCCAGGCGTTGTTTGTGGTTGAAAACACACAAAAAAAGCAGGGGTGGATGTAACTGGGGTAGGCCTAACTACCAGTTACAAATGATAACGAACGAGAGGCCGAGACGCGGTGTTGGTCTGATGCAACCGATAACAGGTGGCTTATTGGGTCGGGCTGATAACAACCTCAAAGCCAGCGCGTGCTATTTTGGGAAACGGTATTCAGACGGCCTGTCAACTTTGATGGATAGGACGCAGATGTTATTTTACGGTCTGTACGTTTGAACTACGCAACTGGTGGTCGGAGATCGAGTACAAGTATCGATTACGGAGAAATACAAGTACGGAGACGAGTACGGATACAAGGCATAAATAGGAGGGGACGGCAGAACTCTCGCTCGGCTCTCTCTTCCCGTTTCAGCGAGCTCTCTTCCATCTTCATCGCTCGCTTAGATCAGTCAGTCTGTGTGACTATGTCAAGTCGGTTATAGAACGGGTTAGCCGTATTGTGTTAAGGAGGATTATAGACATGTGGATTCAGTTATATAAAGCCTAGTGAAGGACTGTTAGGGGTCAGTTGATTCAGACTATTATTGAGAAGCATTCCTGTTGATTTATTGTGTTATTATGAAGCATTTCTTGATTCATGTAATAAAGGATCAATAGCGAACCTGCATCTTGAGTATCTATACTGTGGTCAATGTTGTCTAGAATGAGTGGTTAAACTCGTTAACACGTGGCACTACAGGCAATTAGGTCTCATTACATGTGGCGTTGCGAGCATGGTAACTGTTGGCTCGTTACAATTGGCGTTGTCGGCAGGATAAATGTTCGCTCGTCACATATATATATATATATATATATATATATATATATATATATATATATATGTATATATATATATATATATATATATATATATATATATATATATTGTATGTGTATTTATATGTGTGTATACGTTCTTTTATTTATTATGCACATTTGCTTGTGTAGATGTTTATATAGGCAAGAGTATGTGTATATGTAAAATAGTAGGCTAATATATGTGAGAATTATAATATATATATATATATATATATATATATATATATATATATATATATATATATATATATATATATATATATATATATATATATATATATATATATATATATATATATATGTGTGTGTGTGTGTGTGTATGTTTGTGTGTGTGTGTAATATAAAATAGATTTTTATATTGAGTATGTGTATAAACTCGTACATGCAAATGCATAAATATTACGAATGTGTAGTGTATACGTATTTAAATGTAAGTGTATGTATATGTGTACAATTATAGGTTAATATTTGTATGCATTGGCCAGTTTCCTTGCAAGATCTTCTAACACGTCTGACAACTGTAAAAAAGATGATAAAATTGAGATTAACAAGTTCTTGAATCACCGCATGACATCAAACAATACATTTAAGTTGTGTTGGGAAGGAAGAGCTAAAACACCGTTTGATAATGTGTGTAGGTGAGTTTAATTTGATGTGAAGGTCTCGGTACATAAGATGTATGGAAAACAGTGGTATAGGGAAAACAATTGTTTGTTTTGGATTGTATGGACTTAAGTATATAACATTTTTACAATTTAAAAGGCTAATATAAAACTGTTTTTGAACTCATTAAATACAAACATTTTTCACATTTGGATTTCTTTTTTTATAGTGATGTTCAAGCTTCAAGCATCGTGTGTAAAGTTAACAGCACACAAAGAATAGCGCGAGAATTTGTGAATCAAGAGTTAAGAAATCTGGAATGTGGCTGCAGACAACTGAATGAAATACAAAAAGGTTGGCTGATTACATTTTACAACATAGGGGTCGTCCATAAATGACAACAACTTTTTAGACGATTCTTATCTTTCCATTATCACAAATCGTGACTCAGCATTTCAACCTGCCACCAACACCTCTGGCATTAGATTCCATTATGGCTATCTCTAAACCTAATAGACAGGCTACACTACCTGCTAATTATACATCTGGTGAGGGGGCTAATACTCATGCTACATTACCTGCTTAATATTCAACTGGTAATGTAGTTGCCACGCAATCTACATTTCTTTCTACAGAAAGACTGTCCTAGAGAAATGAAAAGTCCTAACTTTAAAATTGTATAATAATCAAACACACATAACTGAGTGAGGATGGATTGTCTGATATGTTAGATATTTTGTTAATGAAGACAAGTTTTCTTTATAATCTTGCTGCTAATCCTCGACACTTAAAACTTTGTGATAAAAAATTATCTAGGAGTGTTGCGTCAATTATGCCGGACACCGTCGACCAATATAGTAAGATATATTGCTAAACGTACAAAAGTTTCCTGCAATTAAAAAAACAAAACAAATTTATTTAGGTGGACTGCCAAAGTCAGTTTTGATTGGTGTTGGTATTGGCGGATTTCTGATTCTGGTCATCATTTGTCTCGTCAGTTATATCTGCTGCAAGAGGAACAAATCGAAAAAAAAGTAAGCCGCCATCTTGTTTACATAATTGATAGATACCAAGACTGACAAGGGTCTTTTGTGGTTTTAAATAAAGGGAAATTTTGCGCAGGTTTTCAAAACTGTTAAACATTGGTTTTTAATATTTGAATTTTATATCCATTCTCCTTGTAGTATAGTAAATACATTACATTCAAGTAAATAGTATAAAATATATTTTATTGATTTTGAAAGAAATAAATTAGGCACCGTTTAAACCAATTAAAATATAAAATTATTCGAGAAATATAAGCCACTAAATGTGCTGTCAAATTAGGCCGATGTTACTGGTCTAGTTTATCAATTTGGAATAAGATTCTAATGCAATAATAAATGAGACGTAGGCATAATATATCGACCAAATCATTTTTTTTACTGTAAACTTCAATCACTGACAGAGTGGGTTGTTAGTACAAATTTTTACTTAGTTCACAACGTTCGTTTGTGGGTTTGTGGCAAAATATAGAAGCTCAATTTTGACAAACTTCTAATGCAGCCATTTCGTTCACATTAAGGAAAAAAGAAAATAAAACTAATTAGCTTTCTTTAATAAAATGTTTAGTCGCTCATAAGATCTTTTACATATTTTAGCGACAAAAGCTTTATTAAAGAAAGCAAATAAGTTTTATTTTTTTATTTTCAGTGCTATAAAGGTTTTTTTTTTAATATTTTTTAAAAATATTTAGTTCTGATTCATCTATTGAGAACAATGTGTTTTCAGAAAGCGGCAGACCATGCCGAATGTGATTTACGTGTCCAACAAAGAGGACCCGGTCTATCATGAAATTCGTGACGACAAGGTCAGTGAAATGATAGAGGCTGTCTATGACTGGTGGGGTGCGTGGTTTGGGAGAGAGGCAGAGTTTCTTCCAGGCATCTCTTCGGTGGGGAAGGGGGGGGGGGCACCCCGAAGAAAGTCTACCGCCCCCCCCCCCCCCCCCCCCGAACGAAATGGAATTTATATAAAAAAATATATACTTTTAACAGTGTCCGCCCCCCCGGAAATTTGAGTCCGCCCCCCCCCCCACCCCCGAAATTTTCAAGTGCACCCCCGGAGAAAAAAGTCTGGAAGAAACACTGGAGAGAAGTGGCTGCTTATATTCACATGCCAGTCGACCCCACTGTTAGGTGGTAGTCCATATATAGTTTTTACATTCATAAGGGAGGGGAGGTTGGATTTATATGACGATGTGTGACGAAGGGAAAGGAGGCTCAAAATTTCTTGAAGTCACATTTTATTTTTCATTTTTAAAAAAAACTGATTATTTTTTTTAGCATTTTAAAAGACTTTTTTGTAAATTTATCAATAGAGGCTACCTAATTCTGACATAGAACTATATTTTAAAAAAGAAATGAGGAAGGGGTCAGGTTTATTTCTGTCATTTTTGTGGATGGGTTCGACTTTCTGTAATCATATGTGCCGAGGGAGAAAGGGAAGTGAAATAGTGACGACCTCTTAGCTCGTGATAAAATGCCTTTCCACATAAAAATCATTGTGGAAAAGTAGTGTTTTTTCAAGCATCTTTTCTTGAAAGGGGGGGGGGGGGTCGGGGGAGGGTTTCTTCCGACGAAATGAAAGCATACAGGCCTACAATACAAATATAAATTATATACTTTACTGATTCATAGATTCCACCAAAACTGCCATCGAGAAATGAAGACATGTTACCTGGCATGAAAATTAACTGTCAACAAATGGAGGAACATACCTATTTAGATCCCGTTATTAAAGGGATGCAATACAGGTTGGTGAGATAATTTGTTTTCATCTGTCATATGAGAGTAGGCGTAGCGACCAGAAGCGTAGCGACCCATTCCCCCCCCCCTCCCGTCCATTTTTTAAATATATTTAGTTATTCGTGATAATACCCCCCCCCCCCCCCCCCCAACTAGTTGGAAAGGTTGGTGGCGCTTTTTACCAGTCATTATCCCCTAAAGGTTGTTTTTTTTAACCACACAATTGATGTAGAAAATAGTTAAATCAGAGAGAAGAATCATGTATCCTTTTACTTTCTAAACCGTGACTGTGTATGATACCCCAGCTGTTCGCCCCTCTAAACATTAGTAGAATAAAACTAATTGAGTACAACCTAGTGTGTATGTGCCAACGTTTGAATGTGTAAACATTTTGTTTTTAAGAGTAAGTCGATCGATGATGAGAGAAACCTCTAACCCCGGTATGGACAGCCCGCCATCTTACAGCCAGAGCGAGAGGGACGCTGTAGAAAATGGCGACAGCGGATACTTTGTGCCGCTCCCCGATACGATAGATGATCAAGGAAGGCAACTCACGGCACCTGTTCCTGCGAAGAGAACAAAAATACCTGAGTCACCTTATTTTACGCTCGAAGAAGGAAATAATTAATTGTTTCTCTTCACCTGACACGATATCAGCGAAATATTATTACAAACGTTTACATGTGAAAAGCCTTTTTTTTTTTTTTTAAAAAAAGTTGTTGGTTAATTTTTTTGTACATTCCTTCAGGGGTCGTCTATGTATAAAGGCCATAAGGAGTGTCTGAGTTTTGTGATTATGTCAGACTATGTGTAGCAAAACTTGAGAGTGGGGGGTGGGATATAAAGTGTGTTGGCATACACTCTTTTAAAAGAAAAAAATCTGAAACTTGATTTTAGCAGTTCTTTTTATATTTCATGAAGATGTTTTTGTAAATTGTAAAGTACATTTATGGATGTGCCAAATCTCGACCGGCATTTTAAACATTAAGTAATGAAATATTTTCAACGGTTAATAAAAAATACGAGAAACTTTACACAAATTAATGATTATTTCCCTTTACTGGAGCTCTGAGTTTTACCAAAGTTCCCCTGCTCTCATTCCATCCCGGCTCCAGCAAGAATAAGCTGTCCCACAGCTCCTAGCTCCGCTCCACATCTATCAGATATAGCAAAGGGTGAAACTTTTCTTAAAATTTCAAAACTCAGTTAAAGATTAGTAAATGCAATTAAAATAAACACAAATCTTGCGTCACATTTTTTATAATAATTTCAATTGAAATTTTACTTTAAGCATTGAAAATAACTATAGAAACTATATAATTAAACATTTTCATTTAGAAAGACTTGGGATGAATATCGATACTGTACACATGACAAAGTATACACAAAATTTCTATTTATCTTGTAGTACATTATTTCATCAAACTTTTATAATTCAGATGCTCTTATACATAATTATGCACACAAAGTAAACTTGGGGTACGCTATCGGCAATAAAAGAACATCGGACAGAAAGGCAATAATAAATATCTGGCCGACCGATTCAAGCCGGAAAAAGATACGCAAAAAAAGAAATAAGCTCTAAAAGTTTTTTTTAAGATCAAAGCTTAACCCCCCCCCCCAGAGGCGTAGCGACCCTTCCCGGCGCCCGGGGACATACTTTCAATTTGGCGCCCCCTTGGGAGCAAATTTTCGATTTGCACTCCCCCCCCTCGAACTCTTCATTTGCACCCCCCTCAAACTTTCGATTTGCACCCCCCCCCCCCTCAAACTTTCGACGATTTGCACCCCCCCCCCCCCTCGAACTTTTCATTTGCACCCCCCCTCAAACTTTCAATTTGGCGTCCCCCCTAAGGTCGGCGCCCGGGGACATATGTCCCCCCCCGCCCCCCCCCCCGCTCGCTACGCTACTGCCCCCCCCCCCCCCCCCCTAAACAACCAACAAACCTACCAACCGAGTGTGCTCGTAAACTTTACTTTCTGTTAGAGCCACGCCTAACTACTTAAAATATGTCAGCGCTCCATTTTAAGTTTATAGGTGCAGAGGTGTAGTCCTACTAGTGACAATAAATCTGAAATTAGATATCAAGGGAAACAACTAAAACTAAAATCCCAATATTTAAGAAAGTTGTACAAAAATATATAAATAATATTTACTTTATCAAGCCACTGTTGATTTTTATTTATTTATACTAATGTAATAAAATGTGTTTCATTCGAGTTTATCACATGTTTTTAAAATTTTAATGTAATTAGCTGCTGTAAATCATGAAAGTAACAACTTCTGACATTAAAAATACAAGTATTTTATTTTGAGACCGACATGCGTATATTACTCCTTTAGCTCTTACTTTTTTAATGTGTATTATTACTATTGTAAATCTGTATCAGTTCTCAGAAGCCGATGATGAAAAGTGTAATACTAAAACGAACATGCAAGGCAAACTGACGCTGCAAATTACATGTATGAGCCGGGAGGGGGGGGGGGGATCCAATTTTTTATGTGTGCGATGTTGGTTCAGTAATGCTGAATGGGGGGGGGGGGGGGTGCAATGTTGGTTGAATAATGTTGAATGGGAGATGGGTGCAATGTTGGTTTAAGAATGCTGATACACTTAACTAAACTGAGCTAGATGATACTATTGAAACAACATCGCAAGTCAAAAACGGCATAAAAGATACAAAGAAGAGGAAGAAGATTATTCGGAAGAAATGGACGAAACAATAAATGATATGTTAAAGCCGCTAAAGGACTCCACGAGTTCAGAAAACCTATTAAAATTTACAATAAAAGAAACAACAGCTAATAGAGTACTCCAACGACAAAAGAAGCCAGATCAACCGTCATACAGTCAAGTACTCATCTTAAACCACTCACATTTACCTGCAATATAATTATCGCAAAGTTCGAGACAAGGTCCAATGAGAAAGCAAGAGGAAATCAACCAATCAATCAATCAATCAGTCAGTCAATCAATCAGTCAATCAATTAATCAATCAGTCAGTCAGTCAGTCAATCAATCAATCAATCAATTAATCAATCAATCAATCAATCAATCATTGGAGCTTTTCAATTGATTTTTCCCCTATATTTTTGCCATTTACCTCGGTCCTCTACTGCTTGAGGTTACACTCTGCAGCAGGGAGCCCAGTCCATTCCTTGATGTTCCCCATCCAGTTTCCACTTTGCCTTCCTCGTCTTCTCCGTCCCGGTCGCCGTACCCTGCGTGATTGTTTTTTTTTTATTGTATGCTTTTGGTTCGTGTCAGATATTCATACCATTAGTAGGCGTCAAAAGATCACCAACATTCGCCCCTTCAAAAATTGATGTGAGAAAGAAACTCTCAAACAATTAGAATATGCTAACTCTGGCAACATTAAACATAGGGTGAATAGGTGGGGGGGGGGGCGGAGGCTAAGGAAAAACACATAACGTTAACAACAAAATAAAATTAAATAAAGTACTGATTGACCCCTTACTTTTACGGGAAACTTACTTTAGAACTATAGAGAAAGCAAAGAACATTGGACGCATACATAGGTACCAAAAATCAATAAAGAGTACTGAATTATTTTTTTGCTTAGTAATTAAAATTAAAACTACACCCGTGAATAATTTTTCACCATTAAGTTAATTTTTTTTAATATCTTTTTTAAAAAATAAACTAGCAATAAAATTTAACGTTATCTCAACAAACAATAAATGCGCGGATGATAAAAAAAAATATTATTATAATATTTTAATTATTTGCTCTATAAGATTATTATTATTATTATTAAATATTTTATAAAATAATATTTTATTAAAAATATTTTTTATTAAATAATATTATTGTTTGGAGTTAAAAAATATTTTTTTAAAATCAAATTAATGAATAAGGTTGTTGAAATCTTTTATAAAAATGTGTCTTTATATGAGTATAGAGCGATCTAACTTTCGGTGTAAAGGTCATTTTTGACAACTGAGATGGGGATGAAAAAAGAGGGATATGAATCAGATGCAGAAAGACAAGGATGTGATTCACGAAAGACGGGAATTCACAATGTTTGTGAACAAAGTCCGAATCTTCCCAAAATAAAACTAGTAGTTGGCTTATTAAAAAAAAGGGGGAGGGGGTAACATTAGCCCCCTCACCTCTCCCCCCAACCCTTTCAAAACTTTTTAGGAAAGAAATGTGGAGAACATGTAGACATAAGTTAGCATATCTTTAGATTATTTCTAATTTTATAAATTTGTATGTAAAAATATTATGTGCTTCATGTATCTTAATCTTTGCATAGATATGGTCAGCTCACAAGAGTGACATGGAGGCCTAACCCCACCCAGTCAACCGTCAATAAATCCACCACCCCCTCCCTCCAACTTAAAGGCTAGATCTGCATAGCTCAGCTGTCAAAATGGCTATACCCACTGGAGAGTATAGTAGGCTTAATGGATTTCAGAAAGTCATATTTCAATACCGTGGATCGGCAACAGCTAACATGTTATGAAATAGCCATTATAAAAAAAGAATATGTGTGAACATATCGGGAATATTTTTATTATTGCGTTTTGCTTTTGCATTATCTGAACACTGCGCATATCTTTGCAGATCTATAATTTCTCATCGAGTGACATGGTTGATTAATTTGTTTATACGCAGCCAATATCTCTAACACCTGGGCTTTGGTGGGATGATGATAATTGTCAGACTTCTTATAAATAGTAACAGTATATTAAACATCAGCTCTTCCAGAACTGTAGCACATTTACTTGGACTTCTTACGCCACGATTTTTTATTTATTTATGTGGCAATACTGAACCTGTTTTATTTACTTATTTGCTTTAACTGGGTTTCGAATAAGTAAATCAATATAAAAGGCAATTGACATCAACATGATTTCGAGAAGAGCTCCCCCCCCCCCCTTACGCTTACCCGTTGTTCTCATATTTGATATACAGGCTGTTTTTAAGGCTGGTAAAGTATGGGAACGGTGAAACAAATCACACCTTCCTCAAGCCCACCACCCCCCCCCCCCACTTTTAACCCCAACATTCAGGTTCAGACTATATAAAATTATATATTAGATGTACTATAGTATGTTCAATTGAACGTTAATTCTCTAGATGATCTTAAAATGAGCGTAGGTTAACCTACTTATCTTCTACACTATCATCAAGGAAACACACAGATTATGACGTCAGCCTAAGTGTGGCTTCAACCAATGAAACAAATGATCGTCAATATGCGCCACTTTCACATAGGCGTTTGGATGTAGGTTCTGAAATAAAAAGAGTTGTTTTTTTCTGCACTTTTATTTTTTAATTGTAATAATAATAATAAAGTATCATCATTCACTGAAAACATTTTCTGATTTACTCGATATTAATTTATTAAATAATCACGTTGTCTAGATCTATATAATTGTTTTAGCTAAAAAAATAAAGAAAGAAATTCTGTTGCATTACACGACTTGAAAAATTGAAAGGATTACATTATGTACTAAAACAGGTACGTTATAAGACACGGCATCATGCTAGTTACTGGACATTGCTCCGTAGTACTATTACAAGCTAAAGCCATAGAAGATGAAAAAAAGAGGGCACGTACGCTATACTTGACATGGTTAATCAGAATTTACATAATTTTCTCTCAAATTTCTGTCTAAATATTTTTTTAACTATGTTAAACTAAAATGTTCAAGAACGATAATGTGATTTAGTTTTTGTGTAAATAATTTTTTTTTAAAAATCGGCATCATAGTTTTTAACAGTGTAAAGTATTTATTTCAGGTCAGAATTAAAATGTCTAAAAGAAGCAAAACAGAGTGTGATAATGCAGGTTAGTTTATTTTTATTTTTATGACATTATGTAATTAACAATACATTATCCAAGTAATTAAACAGGACATTACGTTGGTAGCTGGACAGTATGTTAACTACAGTAGAGCACATTATGTTAGTTATTGTAATGGACATTATCTTTGTAATTGCTCCGTGTATTGGTTTATTTACTGAGCAGGACATTAAGTTTGTAATTGGACAGAACACCATGTTTAATAGGAGATAAGTTTCGGAGACACGAAGATACCTCCTTAAGAACAGCGAAAGCTTTTGTTTGTCTAGAGTCTAGAGGCTTAGACAAACTTTCTGGGTAGAGACTAGAGGGTTGAGAGAGGTAGAGTATATAGAAAAGCATTTCATTATGTATATTTATACATTTTGATGATGGGGAATTTTTTCCCCACTACTTAGCTCCTTTAAAATTAAAACAAACTCGAACTCGTTTCTACGCATGAAGAGTTGTTTTTCTACTCATGCTAGTGTCCATATAAAAATGTCTACATAATACCTAACTGGGAACAACTATAACCAATCAAGCAAGTAATCTGAAGGATTTCATCGTTATATCATTCGTATAATAAATTACGCCTATGATCTTTGAAGAAATTCTGCTCCGTTCAAAACGCCTTCATTAACAAGCATTAAGGAAAAGACATTGACCTAAAGATAGGCGTTTTCATTAACTAACAAGGACTTGCAGATACTTAAAAAGGCGCTTTCATTAATCATCCTGAAGGTATAGGTACCACCTTCCAAGATACGAGCTTTTGTTTGACAACAAGATGATGCAAAACTATATATTTTTTAAGAAATAAAAGCAGCCACTGTTCCAAAATGACAGTCAGGGGGAGTGGGTTCTCTTCCCACTCCTAAACACCGGCTACCCCTCTAAGTTTATTATTTCGTAATAGAGATGACATTAGAAAGTTTTGGAAGATTTAAGACAAAATAATTATATTTTTTTTCTTACTGTTACAACAGTACTTTTTTCATACTTTATTAAATGAAAGAAAGACTTTGACATAGTTATACATATTTGCTTGAAAGTATTTGAAACAAAAAGTGTAGATTGCGTATATTTCTTGCATTTTTTTAAAGCTATTGATAACAAATTTGTTGAAAACCACACCAAGCTATTTAAGGAGAAATGTGACCAGTTTGATAAGTGTATTGACCACTTGTATACACAAGCTAATGGAATCTTAATAGGAAGCACAAAGGATGTGCACTTAAAGCAAATCTGTAGGTAAGTACTGTAACAAAGCTAGCTTTGATGTCACGATCATACACATAATATTACATATATATATATATATATATATATATATATATATATATATATATATATATATATATATATATATATATATATATATAGATATATATATATATAAATAATATTATATTATATTATATATGTATGTATACATACAGATTTGTGGTGTATATGTAAGTCTATGTGTGAATGTACAATTTTAGGCTAATGCATGTATGAATTTGCCAGTTTCCTTGCAAGATCTTCTAACACGTCTGACAACTGTAAACGAGATGACAGACATGAGATTTCCAAGTTCTTGAACCAGCGTATGACATCAAACAGTACATTTAAGTCGTGTTGGGAGAGTAGAGTTTCTACACCGTTTGATAATGTGTGCAGGTGAGTCAAATTTGGTTTGGAAGTCGCAGATGATAAAATGTGTCGAAAAGAAAAAAATATTATAAAAAGCACAACTTGTTTTGTTTTTGTCTGATCGTATCTGGTTATCTGGACTTGACTGTGAGACATTTTCTTGTAGAAATACTAAAATAAAACTTTTTTGTAACAAATTTTAAATTTAATTACAAACGTTTTTCACATTTGGTTTTCTTTGTTTTATAGTGATGTTCAAGCGTCAAGCATCGTGTGTAAAGTTAACGGAACACATAGAATAGCGCGAGAATTTGTGAATCGACAGCTAAGAAATTTGGACTGCGGCTGCAGAGAATTGAATGAAACACAAAAAGGTCAGTTGATAACATTAAAAATAAAAACGTTACGTCACACGTCCAAAAGAGTTACGAAACCTGGAATGTTGTTGTAAACTAAGTATCGGAGGCTAGATAATCATTTTTCTTTAGGACATTATAGGTAATGTTTGCTGGGGCATTTTTTATGCAGAATTTCATTCAGGCATCTCTTTGTCGTCGCCCCACCCCCTCTCCCGAATTTTGAAGTGCTCCCCGCCCGCAAGAAAAAATGTAGGAAAGAAAACGGGATTTGTATGTATGAAATCGATATTTTTTATTTTATTTGTAGACACGGGTACACTGTCCATTCCACTTGTCATTGGTGCCTGTGTAGGCGGGTTTCTGCTTCTAGCCACGCTCTTCGCCGTCTGCTTCATCTGGTACAGGAGGAAAAGTGTGAAGAACAAGTTAGTTTTTTTTTTTTTAAATCCCTGTTACTAGTATATGATTCTTTACTGATTGTGTATATCACACAATCACACGTTTACATATAACCTGAGTTTTTTCATCGCTCCATCCTTCCATGTACACATCCATAAATCCGATCATCCGTCTTATTGTCCATCTCACTTTACATTACATCATCCCAGCTGAAACAAATCATTAATGTAATGACAGAAAAAGTCATCCCACACCTGATGGTTACAGTAAATATGGTGCAGCTGATGTGAACTACGAGGACCATTTGTACTATCAAATTGATGACAAAGCGGTCAGTAGAGAAAAATCTGGGTGGATAAAAAAACATATTTAACTTGAAGTCACATGTCGTTAGCACTTATTCAGTCAAGAGCGTATGAGCCGTGTTTAAGAACGTTAGCACTTATTCACTCAAGAGCGTATGGGCCGTTTATAAGAACGTTAGCACTTATTCAGTACTTTTGCATACAAAAAGTCTATATTATTACACCTGCCAGTTCATACTTTTAAAATGACATTTTCAATTATTTATTTCTAAATTTAAGTGGTTGCTAATCGACAAGAGATACATAAGCTATTGTTTAATATTGGATTGTTGATAAATTGAACATATAGAATGAAAATCGTCGCTTTCTGCTTATGTTCTTGCGACGAAAAAAGTTTATTTGTTGTTTTTCAAATTGAAAATATAAATGTTGTTTGTTCTGATACTTTTACTTTTTAAAATGTTCGAGTTGTGATCTAATTTTGGTAGTTCTATTTTCTTCAACTACTCTTCAGGTACCTCCTACTCTGCCTCCAAGAAATGTAAATATGATACATAATAAAAGTATCAACCAGCCAATGGATGAACCAGACTATCTAGTACCCGCGGTGGGGAAAAATCAATCTATGGAAGTGGCTGATTATCTAGTTCCCGAGATGAATAGAGTTCAATCGAGGCAAGTAAATAGAAATAAGTAAATAGAGATAAGTAAAGAGAGTTTAGTCAATTTGTGAAATTCTGGTAGCATCATAATTATTGTACAAGAATTTACTTTTTTACTTTTTTACTTTTGTACTGAGTATAGAAAAAGTAATGTAATCGTGCAAAAAAATTAAAATAATATTTTTACAAATCTTGACCTTTTACTAGTTTACACCTCCCTTAGCAGAAAACACTTTTGCAGTTTAGTCTGTATGTCTGTGTTTCTGTGTGTCTGTAAACACGAAACATCCAGTATCGTTACAACTAGGTTGACGGAATTTCACATGTACGTACAATATCAAATTTGTATTTTGTATAAACTTTTTAGCGATTTCCGATAACCGGAAGTGGCACTTATTCTATTTTCGGTTTCAGTTAGGCAGACGAAATTTCACGAATAAGTAAAAGATCTAATTCTCTAGAAACTGTCAAATTTTTAGGAATTTTCCGATGACCGGAATACTCTACGCTATTTCCGATTTTTTTTCAAAAAACGCATAAGAATTTATTTTTTTATTTTACGCGATTCTATTCCCTTTAAAAAATCAAGTATTTAAAAATTGATTTTAAAAAGCATGTCTATATCCCGACTGTACTGGAGTTGCCATCCTCAATAGTGCTTTCTAGGAATATTCGAGAAAGTTGATTCTGTTGTGATGGTTAATTATGTAGAAATGGTTGATCCTCTAGTGATGGTTGATCCTCTAGTGATGGTTGATTCTGTAGTGTTTGTTGATTATGTAGGGATGGTTGATTCTGTATTGATGATACATAGCTAATCTAATTATTGGTTGTTGTTTTTTTTTTATCTCAGTCAGTACTCGACCCCTTACTTCAATGAGACTGGAGATAGCGGCTATTTTATTCCACTCCCTCCGACAGATGACGAGGAAGGGAGACAAGTCAGTGAGATCAAAACGTAAACTTCTTAGATCAACCGGAAATGACGAAACGAAAGTAGTAACATTTTAAAATATCTCTTAGATCCATTGCTGAGACATTAAATGTGTTAATTTTTTTTTAGAAATAAAATTATACGAAATAAAAATTTATAATTTTCTTTAAAAAACAAACGTATACAGACCTTACATGCCTATGTAACAGGGATGTAAAAAAAATCTCAACTATTCCGCATATTTTAGATTTTTGAAATTCCTGTTTCAGTTAGATAAGCTACACTTCACTTCATGAGTCTGGTTGATGAAAGAATTCATCATTATCGTTTCCTGTTTGTGTGCAAAGCACAAAGAGCAGACGTAGCAGAGTTCATCTGTTTCAATGACCTCACTTTAAATGTCCCTAATGTGACTCAAGGAGGTCCTACAGTCAACGGACTCGAGTCAGGGATCTGAACTCGAGATTTTCGTGTCAGGGGTCGTGAGATCTGCTCTCAGACCACGGTGTCTAGTGTAAAAAAAAATTAATAGCATAACGACATTACAATATTGAGTATTTTAAGTGTAATTAAAGAACAAGGCTCTGTGTTGTCTCCTTCATTAATAAAAATCATTACATGGTTATCGTTCTTGAAATGTTTTTTTTCTTGTATTTACCTCCCGTAGTTTTTTTAAAATGTATTTCTTGTTAAAAAACAATGCTTTAATATTGTAAATAAAAATACAAACTTAAATGTGTTGCCAAAATTCCATTTTAAGGTAGAAATAAGTCCACGAGCAGCTTCGTTTAATGAACTTCTTATCTTTCGCATATAGAAAAATACTTTGAATAGGGGGCTTAAGAACTGTCAAAAAACTAGAAAAGTCTAGCCTTATTTAAACCTACATTGGTCACAGATATTGATAATATTGAAACAGTTAACAAAGTAGAAAAGGTAATATCAAAGTGGGCACAAGCACTGAAAATTTCGAACAACATAAGGTAAAAAAAAAATATCCCATTGGGCACAAATATTAAAGATATGTCCAACATTATTTAATCAACAGAAAAAGGCAAAATCACAGTATATAAATGTGTGCCAAAGCTAAAAAATAAAACAAATCTAAATCACAGTAGGGAAATGTATGTTGAAGTTAACACAAACAAAAACCTAACATAACTCACGTGGTCATGTGTGAGAGATTGTGGCTTGTGCCTGCTAACCCGAAATTAACGAGTTCGAACCCCGGGCAGATGAGGTCCTATAGATGTGGACAGCAAACCATCCAGTAAAGAAAACTTCGAAATCAAACAGGGGTTGAGCCCTTAGGTAATCAACAAACTGGGCAATGTAGACTGGAAATCAACTATGGAAACCCATTATATGTTTTTTTTATCTCGTACAAGACCCACTGACCCGTATGATAGTAGTGTGACCCTTGTCTGTTACGTCACAGCGCGTGACTACTTAAATTGGGAGCTGACAAAGTAACAACTCTCAGAGCCGTTGTTTATCCGGGAAATATCAAGTGGGTGTCCTCAGACCTCCCCATAGTAGGTCTTCTCAAAACTCCCTTTCAGTGGTTGTACTCATACCATCTCTTTAGTGGTTGTCCTCATAACTCTCCTTAAGTACGTGTCCTTATACGTCTCCATTAGTGAGTGTCCTTATTACCTCTTCCTTTAGCCTCACCTAAAAATATCAAGTAAGTGTCCACTGAACTCTCCTTTGTGAAGTACTCGAAACTCTTCTATAGCCTCACCTAGTTTAGAATCAAGTTGTTAAAGCCTAGCTTAACTGTGTTAATTAACGCTTTAGTTTGATGCTTCATAACACAACAATGGTTGAGGGGTAGATGAATTAATCTTTAATCCAGTAAATACAACGTCCCAGTGATTGTATGTTACATTTTCACAATCTGCTACTTGATTTATTGGATTACTATGTCGCACTCACATCTTGATCGCTGTCAAGCCTCTAGTAAGTATTTTACAATTAACAGTAATTAAATAGTTAATTATTTATTTATATATTTCAAATGTCTAGCAATATCTCTTGAGTTTTGTTGTTGATTGGGTGTTTTCGGTATATATTCCATCGATTATGCTGTTTTTTTTTCATGTATGTTCATAAGTATTTTTGAAGTATCTGGTGAGTTTAGCTGTTGCTATTGGTTGGCGAGGGGGTTGTGTATGGGTTCTATTGCAGTGTCTGTGCTCTATATCTATATTTTAATTTTAAGATGTAGTTACGAATGCTGTCAACACAGTGGTCCCCTTAGTAAAACCACACCAGCTTCACACTTAATTAAGCTATGTTGTGTACAGAGGTGGGGAGTCATTTTTTTTTCTGTATCTATATTGTAAAATATATAATAACGAAAATTTCCGTGCACATCAATTTTGGATTTTATTATCCAGTCAACGCAGCCCCTATAATCTACTAACCAACTTGATCATTTTCAATAATATGCCAGCCTTTGCTATTCAGCCAGAGTCGTAATCTAAACCTTAGCCAGACTTTCTTCCAGGCATCTCTTCGGGCAAGGGGGGGGGGGGAGTCTACCGCCCCCCCCCCCCCCGAAAATTTCAAGTGCCCCCCCCCCCCCTTAGCGTTCGAGCCTTTACCTAAAACTACCGTGTACGTTTTACAGTGTGTGAGTAACCAATCGACCTTGCTTTTAGATAAGTATGAAGCGTACATCAAACAGAATTTAGAGAGCCTGAAGGCCCAGTGTGGTCACGTGACCGCCTGCATTGACAAGCTGCTAGCGGAAGTCAGCGTGACGGTCCTGCTCAAGGGAGATAACATCAGTCTCAACAAGACTTGCGGGTAGGTCTAAATACCAAAAACTGTCAACAATCACTATAATAAATAGAATGGTTTTCTTATTTTAAAAATTGATTTTAAAGCAACATTTGACTTTAAAGAATCAAACTGATTTTAACTCCTCTAAAAGCTTTTACCACACAAATATACATATATTCATAAATCTTAAACCTCCCAACAGGATCCACAATTCTCAAACCTCCACAACCTTTTCCACAAATCTCAAACCTCCCCAACCTTACCCACAAATCTCAAACCTCCACAACCTTTTCCACAAATCTCAAACCTCCCCAACCTTACCCACAAATCTCAAACCCCCCTAACCTTACCCACAAATCTCAAACCTCCCCAACCTTACCCACAAATCTCAACCCCCCCCCCCAACCTTACCCACAAATCTCAAACCTCCCCAGTCTAATCCACAAATCTCAAACCCCCCTAACCTTACCCACAAATCTCAAACCTCCCCAGTCTATTCCACAAATCTCAAACCTCCCCAACCTGATCCACAAATCTCAAACCTCCCAAACCTTACCCACAAATCTCAAACCTCCCCAGTCTAATCCACAAATCTCAAACCTCCCAAACCTTACCCACAAATCTCAAACCTCCCAAGTCTAATCCACAAATCTCAAACCTCCCAAACCTTACCCACTAATCTCAAACCTCCCAACCTGATCCTCAAACCTCCACACCCTTACCCACAAATCTCAAGCCTCCCCAACCTGATCCACAAATCTCAAACCTCCCCAACCTAATCCACAAATCTCAAACTTCCCAACCTGATCCACTAATCTCAAACCTCCCAGCCTAATCCACAAATCTCAAACCTCCCCAACCTAATCCACAAATCTCAAACTTCCCAGACTAATCCACAAATCTCAAACTTCCCAACCTGACCCACAAATTTTAAACCTCCCAGCCTGATCCACAAATATTAAACCTCCCCAACCTGACCCACAAATCTTAAACCTCCCAGCCTGATCCACAAATATTAAACCTCCCCAACCTGATCCACAAATCTCAAACCTCCCAAACCTGATCCACAAATCTTAAACCTCCCAACCTGATCCACAAATCTCAAACTTCCCAACCTGATCCACAAACCTCAAACCTCCCCATCCTGATCCACAAATCTCAAACCTCCCAACCTGATCCACTAATCTCAAACCTCCCAACCTGATCCACAAACCTCCACACCCTTACCCACAAATCTCAAGCCTCCCCAACCTTACCCACAAATCTCAAACCTCCCCAACCTAATCCACAAATCTCAAACCTCCCAACCTGATCCACTAATCTCAAACCTCCCAACCTGATCCACAAACCTCCCCAACCTAATCCACAAATCTCAAACCTCCCAACCTGATCCACAAATCTCAAACCTCCCAAAGCCTGATCCACAAATCTCAAACCTCCCAAAGCCTGATCCACAAATCTCAAACCTCCCAACCTGATCCACAAATCTCAAACCTCCCCAGCCTGATCCACAAATCGGTGACCGGCAGCTACACGACACTGAGGAGAAACTGTACGGAGACGGAGAGGGAGGAGATCCGTGGCATCGTGGAGGAACACGTGGGCGATGTGTACGACGGCAACAAGTGGAAGAACCTCAAGAGATGCCTCACCAACGCGTATGGCGACACGGAGAGGACGTCCCGCGTGCAGGAGATTTGTGGGTTTGTATTCAACCTAGACTTGATAGTACAGTCTCGCTGATTGGATGATTTCAGGAGCAACCTAGATCTGATAGTACATACTCGTTGATTAGATCATTTTAGGAGCAACATAGAATATTACTTAATTAATTGGGTTGTAACTTAGGGTCTGGTCGTTAAGCTCATGGTCGCTAAAACGGAAAGTTCCGAGTTCGATAGCTGGTGAGAAAAAACTCCAATATCTAACAACTGTCGCCTATATTTTGTTCTCGGATGGACAAAGGCTATGAAAGCAAATCATAAACGGCCTATGTGGTGCCTAACATAAACTGCGTTGGAGGCAGTGTTTCTTCCAGACTTTTTTCTCTGGGGGGGGCACTTGAAATTTTCGGGTAGGGGGGCAAGGTTGACTCTCCGGGGGGGGGGGGGGGGGGAATTGTTAAAAGTATATATTTTCTATATAAATTTCATTTCGTTCGGGGGGGGGGGGGCGGTAGACTTGAAATAGTATTATTTCAAGGATTGGATTGAATCACTGGCCTTTTTTTTCAAGTGTATTATCCGGGAGCCTATATTAAAATTTTACTGGATTTGAATATAAATTAAGCTTTCATTGAGTGGGCTAATTTACATTAACATTTACTTGTTATTTGAAAATACTTTAAGATTAAAAATAATAAATTTATTTATAGTTTTAAGTATATTTTATATTCTATGACTAATTGTTCCATTTTTAAAATTACATATTTGAAGTGCACTTAAATATTGTTCATACCATAATAATCTATTGACCTATGAACTTACAATTGACCTATGAACTCTGCATCCTCAGACTGGCCCAGAGACAGAAAGAAATCTGTAACAACTCAGAGATTCACAGGATGACGGAGAAATTTTTCAATGAAGAAATTCAAAGTCTGCAGTGTACGTGCAGGAAACTGGAGCAGGAGGGGGGTCAGTATGGGGGATGGAAGAGGGGGGTCAGTATGGGAGATGGGGGTCAGTATTGGAGCAGGAGGGGGGACAGTATGGAGGAAGGAAAGGGGGTCAGTATGGGAGATGGAAGGGGGGGGGGTCGGTATGGGGGATGGAAGGGGAGGGCAGTATGGTAGATGGAAACGGGGGGTCAGTATGGGAGAGGGCAGGGGTTCAGTATGGGAGATGGAAACGGGAGGGGTCAGTTTGGGAGAGGGCAGGGGGTCAGTATGGGAGATGGAAGGGGGGGTCAGTATAGAGATGGAAGGAGGTTAGTATGGGAGATGGAAGGGGGTTGAGTATGGGAGATGGAGGGGGTCAGTATGGGAGATGGAAGGGGGGGTCAGTATAGAGATGGAAGGAGGTCAGTATGGGAGATGGAAGGGGGTTGAGTATGGGAGATGGAGGGGGTCAATATGGGAGGTGGAAGGGGTCAGAATGGGAGCTATATAGTGGGGTTAATGTAGGAGATATACGGAGGTCAATATAGAGCAAAAGGGGGAGGGGGAGTATAAAAAACATATCGAAGGAAATTAAAAGAATAGAATATCTATGATGAGGAAATGCAGTATGGGCGTCGGTTAGGAAGATCACGTGAGATTGGGGTCAGTGTTTTAAGAAATAATATCTTTTAGTATAACTGACGGTCCATGGGGCAGGTGAAGTAGAGTTCACTTGTTTTAGCGAGCTCGGCTTATGAGGAAATAGTACCCAGTCGTCTTTTACTTTCCCTTACGTGAGCCAAACACCCATCAAGATGGGTGCATTCAGGGGCGTTCTGCATACTCAAACCCGGGATCCGAACTCGAGACTTTCGGGTAAGCGGGCGAACGCTTTACAATCCAACCGCGCCGCCCCTCTAACATCTCTAGATTACACATAAAGAACATGGGGGGAGGGGGGATTTATTCATACACTGCTCACCTTTTTTAGACATCGATCCACTAAAAAAATATCCCCCCATTCATTACCCCATGACAGAGGAAAACGTGAACTTGCCAATATTTATTGGAGTTGGTGTTGGCGGCTTTCTCTTGCTCGTCATCATTTGTGTCGTCTGCTTGATGCTCTACAGGAGTCGGAAATCTGCACGCAAAAAGTAAGTCAGCTGACTTGATTGTTTTTCATGGTGTGATCGCGTTCTTTTCCCGTTCTTGGGGCAGATAAATTTGAGAGGATAGTGTGATCAGCACTATGCTCAGTCTTTTATGTTTTCACCTAACGTGAGATTGGTACCTTTCAAAGCTGGGTGGACTCGGGGATATTTTATTGACTTGAACCCGCATTTGAAACCGCTTGACCAAGTTGTCCCCATGTAGTGGGCATTGTTGATGCCTAAAGTTAAGTGACATGGAGTTGGCTCTATATGACTAGCATAAATCGGATTTGACCTGGTGACATTGATACCTACAGGGCATCGTTTTATTCTAGGCATTGTTCATAAATGATGAGACACATTCCGGTAGAGCTCGGGGTAGTTCCGACTTTTATGACAATATCTGACGAAGGAGAGGGGGTGGGTAACGAAAGAGTGACGTCGCATTTTGTTAAGGACAAAAATGATGATAACCGATTTTTTTTCGGGAGGGGCGAGAATGAGAAATAAGTGACGTCATTAATCTTAATGTGGGTCTGACTTTTTGTGATGAAGTGAGAAAGTAGCGGGTGGGGTTTGACGTTAATTATGGACCCCCGCCCCATTAAAACAACTGGTTCCTTCTTGCAGCAGGACTACCACACCTAACGTCATCTACCTACCCCCCTCCCACCCCCCCCCCACCCACCCCCCCCCCCCCACCCCCATTAAAACAACCTGTTCGCCTCTTGCAGTAGGACTACCACACCTAACGTCATCTACCTGCCCGGCCCAAGTCCTGACGCACCTGTGTACCAGGAGATCTACGACCACAGGGTCAACGTGAGTAGTGTATTGCAGCTAACAGCTTCATAACGGCACTGCATGCTTACGGGAGTATCCAGACATATTTGTAGAGAACTCTGTGTTCGCGGTTAATTTTATTTTATACATTTAACAGAGAAACGATAGCTTTTAATGTTGTGGCTAGGTATTCGTGGTTATAGCTGGAGCTGGTTCAGTGGTTCGACTTAACCTGTGTACGAACGAACCTCAGGGGTTCGGTAAGTCGGTCTCAGTGGTTCGACGGAGGTTAAGCCAAAGGCACTGCATGGGAGTATCGAAACACATTTGTAGAGAATTGTGTGAGCGGTTAATTTAATTTTATACATTTAACAGAGAAACGATGGTTTTAATGGTGTGGCTAAGTGGCAGTGTTTTTTTGTTATAACTAGAGCAACTTTAGTGGTTCGTCTTAACCTGTGTACGAACGAAACCAAGGGGTTCGGTGAGTCGGTCTCAGGGGTTCGACGGAGGTCAAGACAAACACCCTATTCATTTGATTCACCATCAGATTTTGTCAGTGTGGACGAAATATCTTTGAGATAAGAAGGGTTCGGTGTATGCTCATCTAAAACTGGTGGGGTTCGGTACCTCCAAAAGGTTAAGAAAGAACCACTGAGCTAGAATTTGGTTTGGTTTAGGTATTGTTTTCCGCGATATCATAATTCAGTTGTTTTTTTCTGTTCTCACAACTAACAAGAAAGCACAGAGAATGCAACTTGCAACCTTTAAAACTTGTTCTATCCACCTACTTTATTCTTGTATTATTGAATTGACAGAGTGCGCGGGGTTACTGCGCACCCCCGTCTGCTGACCCTCCGTCACTTCCTGTCCGATATCTGAGCAAACCAACAGCCAATAGAACCAGTCCTCCGTCTAATGATGAGCCGGACTACTTAGAACCAGCTGTTGTCTCGGTCAAATACAGGTAGGCCTCTACTTTATTTTATAGTTTATACTTGTATAGTTTATACTTGTATAGTTTATACTTAATTTTATATAAAAAACTTTTTTTTATTATTTTAATCTGCTATGTAAGTTTAATGGAAGTCAGTCTAAAAACCACTTTCCCAACAAGTCAGACATGTTTCATTACTCGGTATAATGTATAGAAAGTCATTGGATTAGAGTTGAGTCTTAGACCCCCCCCCCCTCCGTCAGGGCTTAAATATAGTCGCTTTTTTTAAATTATTTTAAAAATCACATATCTGAAAAAGAACATTAAATTCGGGAAAAAAAAACATGTTTCAATTTTTTTTTTTTTTTTTTTTTTTAATGATCATTAGCGTCCAAAAATTACCGTGAACATTTTTCTGTAATTTTCTGATAACAACTGCCCGTAATGAAATTTTCTAATAACAACTGTCATTAATGATGTTTTATGATAACTGTCATTAATGATGTTTTATGAAAACAGCTGTCATTAATGATATTTTCTGATAACAGCTGTCATTAATAATGTTTAACATGGTACAAACTATTTCAGAGCCAACGCCCCCCTTCAGAGAGAGGCTTCCAATGGCATGGACAGCCCACCGACCTACAGCCAATGTGAGAGAGACTCGGAAGAAAACGGCTACTTCAACCCCCTCCCTAGCCCCACCCTAGAGGACGACGTCAAACAGCCCCTGTCCAGCGAGGAGACCGCACAGGTTAGCCCGACCAGCGACCTTGACGGGGGGTACGAGACCCTAGCACGGGATAAAACTCCGGGCCTAGATGGACGCTTCAACAAACTGACCAACCAGCGGTCCAGCTGTCCCCCCGAGGAGGCGCCCAAACCCCTGGGGCCGGTACCCGTGAAGAGGGTTAAAAAAGAGGACAGACAGACGGAGTCGCATTACTTCGTGCTGGAGGAGAACGCCCATGTGGAGGAGCCGCATGAATGATTTGAAATGTTGTGGCACGTGACTTGGTCTCGTGGCAAGCGTCAGACTAATTAGACACCTGCGGATGTCCAGTTAATAAAAAACTTCCATTAAGTTAATTGTAGACTTTAAATATTTTTTACTTCCGAGAAACCTGAAGGCTTACTGTAGCTTCAATATGTTTACCCGAAGCTTTTGCAAACTTTTTAATTACACTATCTCAGATGTATACAGCATTTTTATGTTTTTAAAATAATCGCTTTCCAGCATTAGGTGTTTTTTTTTAAATCAAATTTAAAAATTTGATTTTTCTATAATGTCTCTTTTAAAAATATTTCCTCTGGAGGCACTTGAAATGTACGGGGGACGGGGGACGGGGGACGGACGGGCACGATACTTGCCCCCCCCCCCCATCCACAACACACACCCTTCCGGAGACGTGCCAGAAATTAACTCCGCTTACAACTACCTTAAGTTTCTAGACAGAGCTTGAGGCCCGATCCAAAGTGTTCAAATACACATATAAATGTGAATCGTGTGACAGGATATACTTGTTTAGGAAGCTTTTACGTCTTCATTCCACAGTCACTTATTTACAACACAACATTATAATATATAGGCTATATATTACTCATGTAGAAGTATCCTGCATTCAGCTTATAAAAAGTACAATACGCCAGCTAAAAGTTCAACAGTTTTAATTTGTTTCCGTTTTTTATTGTAATTGTTTTTGATTTTGTAACCTACCAGCTCAGCCAAACGTAACTGAGATTTTACATTCCTTTTAGAAATAAAAAAAATATAACAATTATAAAATTATAAAATAGCATAACACTATTTGACCCGCTTTTAACTTATGTCTGGCTCCTTCTCCAGTACAAAATAATGAGACTCCGTCTTTTTATCGGCTATATTTGTTCTCTTTGCCGGGCTGGGTTTTTGTTTTGAGACTTGTTCTACAGGAGAGCTAAGCTTTTGGTCCGTGTCTCCATCAGTAGTGTTCTTGTTGTGTTCCGGCGGTTTAAATCCACCATCCACGCCGTCAGTTGGACTCGGCAGTGGATTAAAGTATCCATTCTCTTCTGCATCCCGCTCGCACTGGCTGTAGGTCGGGGGACTGTCCGGTGACTCCCTTGGGGCGGGGGGTTTGGGCCTGGAAATACAATTTTCTGGCGTTAGATAAAAGCAAATGTACAAGTCAGTGTGGGTTACATAGAGCCTAAACGTTCTAATATTACAGCAACGTTTCTATCGGTCCAACGGGATTGTTCCCGAAGTCCAAGCGCCCCAGTCCATCTGTTCTTAGAATAGTGTGGGAAAAATTGAAAAATCAAAATTGTATTGCTGTCAACCAGAGCTTCTTTCATGCAACTATTTGGGGGGGGGGGGGGGGAGATGGTGAAACCCGTCTACCGCGGAATTGAATTTATATACTAAATTATACCAGTGTCCACCCCCGGGAATTTTAAGTCTGCCCCCCTCTCCCTGAAATATTCAATTGCCCCCGCCCAGGAGAAAATGTGTGAAAGAAACACTGCTGTCAACTCAAGTAAGTCGTGGATATTGTTTCCGTGCGTCATATTTTAAAACGGTTTGAAAAATTAGTTTTTAGACCTGTATATAAATCCAACATTAGCCGGCTCCAGATACCCAGACTCGTCCGTGTGTGGCTCCTTGCCGAAGGAGGCGGGAGGGCTGGTTACGTACCTCAGGGGGAGGGAGGGGGGAGTCGCCGCAAGAATTGGCTGGAAGTTCTACAATAGAACATACATATTTTATTATTATTATTTGAATCAATGTTATAAAAAGGAGAGATGCTAGCTCAATGTTTGAAAAAATGTAGATGATGGTTATAATTGTAAGGAAATGAATGTGTGATTTATTTTATTAATTTTAACGTGGTATTTCTGTTCTTGATGTTGTTGACTTAGGCTACAGGTCGACAACATTTTAGAGCAGTTTCTACAGTTTCTAGCATCAGGACTAAGCTTAAAAAATTACATTGGGGTTCCTTAAGAATTTTTATCAGGAATACAATAATTCTTAGCTGGAATTTAATTGATGATGTAGCACATGACGGAGTTAACTTTTTAAGTGAAGCCTACAGTTAGATTTATGGTGAGTGACGTCCCTGAGTCCACTCAGCTCTAATGGGTACCTAACTCACGTTAGGGAAAGTAAAGGCTGTGGGCATAGTGCTAACCACGACATCCCTTCATATGCAGAGTTCAAGTAACATATCAACTCCAATTCATCTGCCCCATAGATCGTTAGGTCTGAAATGAGAGCTTTATTTAATATCTGAGTGCCCCGAGAACTGACCGAATCGTCGTAGACTTCCTGGTACACCGGCACGTCGGAGTTATGTCCCTGCGTGTAGTCTGTCCTCTTGGATTCTCTGCAACACGGCATGGGTTTATAAAAACTAAATAATCGTTATGTTAAGTTTACTGTGTTCATACATTCATACAGACAATCCGTCTTCCACCCTCTTGAAAGCAGATTATATTTCTAGGTGTAAACTGGTTGCTATACTGTTTTTTTTTTTTAAATTAAGCCATTTGTACTGACAGACATTAGATTGGAATCCTCAAGGAAAAGTGAAAGTAGGCCAAAACAATTTTTTTTTTTAAAAATACACTTGTTAGTGAAACACAAGTAGTCGTAATATAATGGACCGCATTTGATCGAGAGGTGTGGTTGTATCCCAATGTTGCCCATGGGGTCCAATAGAATCATTATGATGATGATAATAACGATACATAGACAATACTAAATGTTAGCAGTTGCACCTGAATTGTAACACGGTTTTTAATATTGCCACCGGTGTTTAGAGTGATCTAGCTTTAATTTTCAATAGATTCATAAGTTGTCGGGAATTTTGCTGTGATCAGTTGGTTTTTTTAATTGGCTATACTTGTTTTTATGTGGCGGCGTGGCCTAGACTGCTAACCTGAAAGTCTCGAGTTCAAATCCGGATTTAAGTCAAAAGAATGTCCCTGAGTTCACTCAGCTCTGATGGGTACCTAACCCAGGGAAAAAAAAGGCGGCTGGCTAGTGCTGACCACACTATCACTTCATATGCCGAGATCTATGAAACAGACGAATTCTACTTTATCTGCCCCATGTGTCTTGGGCACGAACGGGAAAAGACGATACTTGTTTCTAGCTGTTGTAATATTTTACTTTAATACCAAAAATGCAAATGGAGGATGGGCGCTTACCTTTTCTTTAACGTTCTACTTCTCCTCCAAAAGTAGCAGGCGGTGAATATAGCAATCAACAGGAGAAGCCCACAAACACCGGCAGCCACCCACACAGGCAGAGGAATTGTATCTTCTGTTAGACGGAACGACAAACACAAATATGAAAAGGGGTCGTCCATACATGACGTCACAATCGTAGGGGGGAGGGAGGGGGTCCGTAATTTTGTGACGGTGTGTAATGAGGGGGGGGGGGGGGTCAGATGGTGCGACGTCACATTTTTGCATTATAAAAAAGCAATGTTAGAAAACGAATTTTAGACTTTATTTCGCGTTTTAGAAAACTATTTTAATAAATTGCAATAGGAATTGATTAAAATACTCTATTTTGACTGAGTTCAGACAAGATTTTGGAAAAACATCGATGTTTTAAGAAAAATTCGGTCCTAGGTGCTTTGACCACAGGTGCTTTGACCATAGGGGGTTTGACCTATGATCAAACCCCCTATGGTCAAAGCACCGCTATGGTCAAAGCCCCGCTGTGGTCAAGCCCCCTATGGTCAAACCCCCTATGGTCAAAGCCCAGCTGTGGTTAAAACCCCTATGGTCAAACCCCCTATAGTCAAAGCACCTGTGGTCAAAGGTCCGCGCACCAAAAATTCAACTACAATTTTGAAAGGGGTTGTAGACTGAGGTGTAACGTCATTTTTTTTGGGGGGGGGGGGGGGGGGGGGGGGGGTTGGCTTTTTGTGACGATGTGTGACGGAGGGGAGTGGGGGAGGTAAATGTCCAAAAAAAAGCGTGACGTCATTTATGGCTGACCCCCAAAGGATATATCTAGTAACTTTCAGATACAACCGTGAAACTGTATTTGTGGGTGGAGGAAGGGGGGAAAAATTTCTCTTTTGCCCCTGAGCTCACACAGATCAAATGGATACCTACGCCACTGCATGTATCATCAAACATCAAAACTCGAATTAAATGAGTTTTCCGAAATAAAACAATAACATTTTTTTATACCTATTGATGATTAAACATGGTAGTCAAGCAGAGCTTCAAAAGTAAAGCAGACTTCAAGATTACAGCACATTACCTACAATAAGCTCCAGATTTTTACAGGTACACTGTAAGCTTTGGATTTGCTCGTTGAAGAAAGTTTCCATAATGTTGTGTATGTTGGAGCTGTTGCAGATTTCTTTGTGCTTTTGGGCCAAACTAAAAACAAGGACACGTTATTTACAACAGACAAATGATAATGACAGATATTAAAACTATGGTATCAAAGTTTAGTATCAGAACTATGATAATTCTTTTGTCCGGTGAAAAGTCACTCACCAGGAAGAAGCAATTAAATCAGGCAGGTGACACAACATGTGGGGCGTATTTAATTTTACATTCAGCCTTAACTCACTCTTCAAATGACGAGTCATACAACACAAAATCACACAACATGACAGTCCAGTCAAAACAAAATCACACGTGACAGACAACTCACCTCATAAAATCACACACCATGACGAGTCACTCAACCCAAAATCCTACAACACGACAGACTACTAACTCCAAAATCACACAACATATGAAAGGCTACTCACCCTAGAAATCACACAACACCTTTTAAAACACTCACCTCAAAATCACACAACATATGAAAGGCTACTCACCCTAAAATCACACAAAATATGAAAAGCTACTCACCCTAAAATCACACAACATATGAAAGGTTACTTACCCAAAATTCACATAACACATGAAAGGTTATTCAACCCAAAATCACACAGCACATGTTAAAACACTCACCCCAAAATCACACAACACATGACAAATCACACCCTAAAAATCACACAATACATGTTAAACGACTCACCCACAAATGGCCTCCACACGATCCGACATGTCCTGACCAACGTACTCCAACTCCAGACATTTCCTCAGAGATTTCCACTCGCTCCTGGTCTCGTAGACATCACCCACGTGCGTCTCTATGTACCCACGTATGTCCTCCCTCTCAGACGGCGTGCAGTTCCCCTTCAGAGTGGAGTAGCTCCCTAGGCTGTTTTTGTGAATGAGGCTGTGGGATTTAGGGAGGGGGGTGTAAAACATTTCTGTATTTCTGATGTTTTAAATTTTAATTTAGCTTTAGAATTTCGATAGGCTCTCTCGATGCCTGTCAGGTAATTTTTATAACCGTGGCAAGTCTTAATTCACGGCTACTTTGTATGAAAACCTAGTTCACTTGTCATGTTTACCAATACGTTTTGCTTAGCCTAACTGACCCATAAGCTTTATTTACCTTAAAACCCTTATCCGCTGACCAGCAGTCGTACCCCATCCATAAGCCCTAGTTACTGACCCTACTTACCCTAACCTACTAGCGTTACTTGTCCATAAGCCATACCTACCCATACCCATTAGACAAACTTGGACCAACTAACCTTAACTCACCATCCCCACCTCCCCTAACCAACTATCCCTACTAAACCAAACCCATCATCATTCCCAACCCTAACCAACATTTCTCACGTAACCTAACCCACCAACCCCACTTACCCTAAACCACATTCCTTATCTACTAACCCACGTTTCCTAAAACCCTTACCCCCACTCCTCACATACCCTAACCCATCATCCCCAACGCCAACCCCAACCCTAACCCACCAACCCCACTTACCATACCCCACAAACCCCTTCTAACCATACCCCACCATCCCCTACTAACCCTAACCCACCATCTCTACTAACCCTACCCCACCAACCCCTACCCCACCAACCCCACCAACCCCACCAACCTCACCAACCCCACTTACCCGCATGTCTTGTTGAGGCTGATGTTGTCGCCTGACAGCAGCACCGTCACGCTCACCTCCGCCAGCAACTTGTCGATACACGCAGAAAACTGACCACACTTGATCTTCAAACTCTCCAAGTGGCTTTTTATAAAGTCCGAATACGTATCTGTCAACAAAAATAAATACCATTTTCTAAAAACCTATATTAATGAGCCTTTTCTACCAAAGCAAGGCATTGTACGGCTTAAGCAATATCATCCGCATAATCTTTTTATTTTAGAGAAATTCACAATCAATGCTGGGAGATTTTAAGTGCATAAGTCGTGTCATTTAAAACGACATAACAAACGAAACTCCTTAGTTTAAGAAAATAGTGTACATTGTTTTTAAAAATAACTATTACTTGTGATGATTAATCTTTTTTTTTCGTAATGAATAATCTGGTATTTTCAAAGTAAGGGTCACCGGACACAACCTCCCTTCCCACTCACCAAACTCCCCGCCTACACACACATACACACACATGTCACACACACGCACGCACACACATACCTACTTCAAGAGTCTTAATTTTGGTAACGTTATATCGAGATATTTTTATTTACGGTTCTCTTAATATTCATTATAGTGTTATTGACAGTTATTGTATGTTTTCTTTTACTATTTTACTATACTAACGAAAACCGGATTCAAAACCATCCTGTCGGTATTTTCTGTTAAACCTATCCTGTCGGTAGTTTCTGTTAAACCTATCCTGTTGGTAGTTTCTGTTAAACCTATCCTGTCGGTAGTTTCTGTTAATCCTATCCCGTCGGTAGTTTATGTTAAACCTATCCTGTCGGTAGTTCCTGTTAAACCTATCCCGTCGGTAGTTTCTGTTAAACCTCTTCCGTCGGTAGTTCCTGTTAAACCTATCCTGTCGGTAGTTCCTGTTAAACCTATCCTGTTGGTAGTTTCTGTTAAACCTATTCCGTCGGTAGTTCCTGTTAAACCTATCCTGTCGGTAGTTCCTGTTAAACCTATCCTGTTGGTAGTTTATGTTAAACCTATCCTGTCGGCAGTTCCTGTTGGCTGTGGTATAACTGAAGTGCCACCCATCCCTCCAACACTAGCGCACGTACAACTTTCACATCCAGGATCAGTTGACCCTCCTAATATTTAACTTTCAAGGAATTTCAGTGTATATATTTATTTTCTCTATATAAATTTTAGCATTTTAAAAAATCGGTTCATTAAAAAATAAAACGCCATGTCGGCATGTCGGTGTTCGGCTATAGGGCTGGTAAGTAGGTCACCAAACAGTTCTACGGCTCAATAAAACCTGCATGAGACATAGAACTGTTTGGCGAAGCATCCATCCTACATTGATGACGTCACGCATATAACGGGGGAGGGGACGTTGTATAAATGGAGGATTATGGGAAGGAATAACATTAACAACTGACATTTTCGTTTGATTTAGTTAGCTTTTCGTTAGCTATTTAAGGGTGTTTGAATCTTGTAATGTAACGGTATTTGGACAGAACAGATCACTGTGTGCATATTGACCATTGTTGACATGAGGGTAGTCTGAAGCTATGCTTGGCAGCTGCCTAATTTGATATTTACATCATAATCATATCGGGGCTAACTTGAATAGATATCCCTTTCGTTAACGAAAAGAACGGCTTGACCCAATCAAAGCTGGTACAAATGTCTTTTGTAGCACATATTTCGAAAAGGATTTTCTCATGAGCAGGTTTTCAAAACCTATTGCAGACGGCAACATTAGAGCCTCGAGTTGTCGGCCGCTTGTTTACATTGTAATATTAACAAAACTGAATGTAAGAGTTACATTGATAGAGTTTAGTGAAGCCGGTGTGAGCGAAAACACCAAACCCACAACATAATAAATCAAAAGAAAGTGATTGTGACGCCATTTTTTTTCTCACTCTTTGGTTTCTTTTTTCTTTTTTTTTTTTGTTCTTTGATGGACGCATGTCAATACATGCTTTGTTTGTTTGTTTTTTCTAACTTTTTTTTAAAGAACAAGTCATAATTTTGAATGTTGCATGATACTGCCCTTCCATTACCACACCGCTTAATTACTTCAATTGTAATTAACATGATCAAAACCGCTTCTATGCCTGGTCATCCTTAATATGCTTTCTGTCCGCCTATACGAAAACAAAAACATTTCTTCGGTGGGGGGGGGGGGATGTCAGCCACAACTAGCCTACCCCCCCCCCTCCGAACTAAATTAAATTTATATAGAAATTATAAACTTTTACCGGTGTCAGCGCACCGGAGAAAAAAGTCTGAAAGAAACACTAAGAGTAACCTACACGTGCATATAAAACTACTCACCAGACGTTTGGCAATGGCCTACCATGATGTGGTCTCTGCTCACAATGTCTAATGTCCTACTCTCACAAATGAACACTAAAACAACGAGTATGTCATATGAATAATTTAACTCATTTAACGCGTTGAGTAATTAAATGAGTCAGCACTGCTAAAAGCTAAACAAAATGTCCGTGTTACAGTATGAACACCGTCCACAGTGACTTGACCTCTAGTCACTTGAAGACGCCGTATCTCTCAAGCCACGGTGACAGTGCGGTACTTAAAAGTACCGATGTTAAGTCCAGGATACGTACAGCCTCACACAAGTACCACACTCGAGACATCGAATACAACAACGTTTTGTTTAGGTCTAACATAACGATGATGACAGTTCAGTTCGCTCGCTGGGATTTTTTGTTGTTGACATGTTTCACAAACCATAACAAACGTGGGTCGGTTTGTGGGATAAAACAGAGAGCGACAGGGGCGAAGCTTCAAATGTCTGCTTTGGGAGAGAGGGGGTGTCGTGATAAATAGGTGTCATTACGCTGTTTAGCAAAACGATCTCACTCGGTATTTTAATGATCTTTCTTCAAAAAAAAAAAAGATTGGCACTGCCTCTTTATTTAAACCTTAGGGATATCTTTCCTCAAACACGCCCCCCCCCTCCAACACACACACAGAGGCCATTCTCTGCATTTGTTTTTGGATATGGTTCGTGACCTTAAGGCTAGTTAATTAAAATATCGAACAAAGTCCAAAATTCCAGGTTTAATTTGTTCTTTATATTAATTATAACTAATTATTATTAGTACATTAATTACAAAGAATAAGAACTGTTTGTTACAGTGGGGTAGGGGCGTATTCAGAGTTTCTTCCAAAAAAATTTTACCGCCCCCCGAACGAAATGAAATTTATATAATTTATATAGAAAATATATACTTTTAACAGTGTCCGACCCCCCCCCCCCCCCCAAGAAAGTCTACACCCCCTCCGAAAATTTCAAGTGCCCCCCCCCCCCCCCCGGAGAAAAAAGTCTGGAAGAAACACTGGGCGTATTCGGTAGAGCTGATAGGGTGTATATCTGGGGCTTTTTGTTACACCAGCCCAGTGTAACAGAGATACAAATCTCAAGGCTGCTAGTAGTTAGACTCAAATGATAGGGATCCTAGATGAAACACACATAATTCAATTGTATCTTAAAATCAATATTCTAACAGATCTATGACAAAATATGATTACTGTGAGGGAAACACCCTATTTCTACAGGTAAATTTATTTAAATTATTTAAATACAGTTTGGTAACATTTTGATAAAATAAAAAAAATAATAAAAATACATTTTTAAAAGTTACTTAAAAGATAAATTAGCAAATTAAGTATCTTAAGAACAGCAATATACATATATATGTCTTAGTGTAAAAAGTTTATAATATACATTATAAATTATAACACAAATATGACTAACACTTAGAGAAAAAGAGATGCTGATTTGTAAATTCTTTATCACTGGTCTTCAGCAGCCTGAGGTTTTAAACTGCTGCACTGTTTGCCCAACAACTTATTCAGTGATATGAATGTATGGTTTTCATCTGGGGGCAGGTGACTCACATATTTAACTAAGTGTTGAAGGTTTAAAGTAAATGCAATATTAAAATATACTAACAGAGTAAAATTAAACTGTTTTACAAATGAAAAAAAAATAATCTGAAATCTGCTTTACAATTTACAGTAGAATTAAAAATATTAAAATGTGTACAAAGTTTAGAAGAGAGTGAACATGTAAAAATAATGATTAGAAAACTTGATTAAAAAAACCTTGAATTTATTGGACATATGACGCCCTAACAGAGGTCAAAACTATTTCTAACACAAAGGTTAAAAGGCACTTCACACAATGTTAAAATAACAAAATCATGTAACAATATATGGAGGGTTTTTAAAAATTGCTTACTACAACAGGCAAGCTGTTAACCCTTTGGACAGTTTTCCTATGTTATTTAACTGCAACAGATTGCCAATTTCATAGTTTTTATCATATTTTGCACTGGACTAAGTGCAAGTACCAATTTTTTATGTGTTTTTTTTTTTTTTTATAAGTTCAACAGCAGTAAAGATTTATCTAGTTTTGTTCTGCACCAAATATCTTCAACATTGTAACAAACCTTTAACAAACCTTATCTACAGTCATAGAGAATTTCTAAAAATAATTCATATTTACATCATTTACACTCAACAAATACACCATGCATTCATTTTTGTTACATGCAGCTGAGAGAGATATGATAAAAATGCATGAGTTATGATAAAGGCATGATTTTTATGGAGACATTAGTTATGATTTCAGATAAAAGGAGTAATGGTATCTGATAAAAAGTTGTGATAAAAGCATGAGTTGTGATAAAGCCATAAGTAATGATATTCAAATTTTAAAAAAAAATTCTTGTTAAAGGCGTGAGTAATGTTAACTGTGTCAATTATCATTCTCATACATAGTCTTTGCTAACCATTCCTGAATAATAGTCACACCCATGTAAAAGATTATGCATGCTTTAAAGGAAACATACTTAATCTTTCTACAAGAGTACAAAATCATATGCTCATACAAGATGAGCATAAATGCAAGGCCTAAGCATGGCCAATTGTTTCTTTAAGGTATCCTCTGATGATGAAATTGTTTAGCAAGAGAATCAAAAGTTTTCTCAAGTTGTTAAAAAACTAAGATTTATATAGCAAATACTATTAAACAAAATAATTGCTGTTTTTTTATGCTTGGAAAAATAATAAAATACCATATTATGTAATCAGTTAAATTTAGTTTAATTAGTTTTTACAAAAAAAAGATTTTCGCTTTATTTTTCCTTAAATTAAAAAAGTAAAAAATTTAGACAGTATTTCTTGTATCAACATTTGCACCATCTTCTAACACATAATACGGTGACTCAGTTTTTTTATCTGATCCAACTCGCTTTGCTGGTACAGGTTTCAAGGCGATCTCTTGTGGCACTGGCGGCTCATCCAGTGGGAGGCTGGAGCGAGCTTCAGCTATTTTCTCATACCCGCCCTCCGCTGATGGACTGGGCAGAGGATCAAAATATGCATTTTCTCCATCAGCTATTTCTTTTTCATACTGGCTGTATCTAGGTGGGTACTCGTAGCCTGGGTTGGGTATCGCTGGCTTGGGTCTGGGAGGAAGATGACAGGGAAACTTATAAATATGTATACATTAATAGATTACTTGATTATACATCAAGATCACAGTGAAACATGTAAATATGTAAACATTAATACATTACTTGATTATACATGAAGATGAAAAAAAATGTAAATATAAATACATTAACATTACTAAATTATACACACAAAAAATAACAAAGAAACTTATAAATATGATTACATTAACACATTACAAGATTGTACATAAAATCTTGGAAAGGTTGTAAGCTTTCAAGTTAATTTAACAAAACTGACCTATATTTATAACCCGAACCCGCTACAACTGGCTCTAGATATGCTGGTTCATCCTGATTGTATCTGTTAGGCAAGCTAGGTGGGTTGTTGGAAACAGAGTGACCATATCGTTGGAAGCCCTGGGAGTAAAATAAAACATATAATAACGCCTTTTAGAACTAAAATGGAAAATGATCAGGTTTTAAAAAAATAATCTAACAGCATTAGATCTATGAAATAATTAAGCTATTAAAACTGGAGGCAAGACCATGAACTTATTATAATACACAAAAACAGGGAGGTCACTAAACATCCAGCAGGTAAACTACAATTTGGTGCTACAAAAATGTTGTGACTTTTTAAATGAATTGTTGGTGTCACATCACTTTATAGAAATTCTATGTGTACATTTTGATCAGAAACAAGTGTAGTTAAAGTTTTATGTTGCTTTAAAAAAAATGTGTAAGCCACAATGTCAAATTATTCATCCTATCATTCTGTACAGGAAAATATAAGTTAATAATAATGCAGGGTTATTTACAAAATAACAAAATGGTAAACCACCAATCCCTAATTTACATTAGATAATATGTGCTAGATCCTTCAATGCTAATACCTTAATATGTGCTAGATCCCTTAATGCCAATTTTGTAATAATCAGAAAAGTTTATTTTAACAAAATTCCTGTGACCTTTTCATTGAAAACTTCCTGATATAATTTTACAATAATGTTCCTTTAATCCCTTCATTAAAAACTTCTTAATATATTGTAAAAATAAAATTCCTTGAACCTGATATAATTTAACAATAATGTTCTTTTAATCTTTTTATCAAAAGCTTCCTGATATAATTTAATAATAAAATTCCTGTAACCTTTTCATCAAAAACTTCCTGATATACTGGCGTCTCAGAATTTGGGGCTGGCAGGTAGATTACATTCTGGGACCTCTTCCTGAAATCAATGACAGTGAACTAATAAAAATTTGGAGTGAATGTAGGTAACAATTTGGTATTTGTATTACCTCCCTTGATGTGGGAGTACAAAAGATAAACATAAACTGGTATAAATTGTTAATTAATATTAAATTAATTAAAACTTTTTGAAAATATTAAGAACTCTTGAATTTGTTACTTGTACTTTTTTTTACAACACTTTTTGATGTAGGGGAGTTAATCCAAATATTGACAGTTTAAATTTTATAATTTGCTCATTCTAATAAAGCTCTGAGCTGAAATTTAATTTAAGTGTTAAGTAATAAAGATTCTTTGTTTACACTACTGATTGTCTTAACACAATACATAAAAATGTACAGGTATGATTATACGTATTGGTGGTAGAATTTACACTCACTTCTTCCTGGATTTTCTACATCTGTAGACAACTAAAATCAGCACAATGACTAGGACAAGTAGAAGGAAAACTCCCACCCCAACTCCAATCAGCATGGGTAGAGAAACATGGTCGTGATCACCTGGACCTAGATAAAAACATCTTTTTAAAATATGGCTTTTTCACTTTTACTGGAGCGATGATTGATTTTAAAGATATGCTAATAACATACACATAACATGGGTGAAACATTGTATTGACGATTGTAGATGTCTGAGTATGGTTGTATACTATAGCATAATAACTATTAGAACCCTACCATTCATTAAATAATAAATTTTATTAAATTTACATTAAGAAAGCTTGAAGAGCTGATTAATGTAAGCATATGAAACAGCAAGTTCTAAGTTTCAGTTTGGCACAAAGATTTTTAAGTATTAGAATTAACAACAGTTATTTCTATGCATAGAGGACACTTGTCTCATACTATATGAATCAATGATTTCTAAGCATATGAAAAAATGATAGTCTAGTTAACAGAGCGTATGGAGTGACAACTTTTCAAATAATTGAACATACCTTTATCTTCTAACTTTCTACAAGTACATTGCAGGTTTTGGATTTGTTTGTTTAAAAAGTCCTCTACCCTGTTGTGCACATTGGGTCCAACAGCTTTACAAATTTCTTTCTGTTGCCGCGCTAACCTTAAAAAAAAAAACACTATTGTTCTAGTTAAGTGTAAAATATTAACAGAGGTATTATTTGAGTCAAGTAAGTCTTAAATTAATATTTTAAAAATAAATACTAACCTACAAATGTCATCCAACACTGTTGTTCTCTCTAAACTGCCATAGTTATTATTTATACAAGTTCGCACATTTTTCCAAGCTCTATCATCATTGTAAGTTTGTGTTAAAACTGTGTCAGTATAAGAACGGATCTGCTCCCTCTCTGTTAATGAACATTTTCCTCGCAGTGTGGTGTAATTTCCATTTTCGTTGGGGGAAATAAGACTGTAGGGTAATAAATATACATCTCAACATTAATTTGTTTTTTAAGTGCATAACTATTACGTGTGATAAAGGTTTTGACTCAAATAAAACAAATGTTAAAGAAGTCTTGTTAAACATCAGTTGGGTTGTTTGTAAATGTAAATGTTAGATTAATCAAAAGAGTGGTCTCCCTTGGTTTGTTTAAAATTTAATAGTAAATTGAATACCCTTAAATACACATACACCCTTATCTCTTTTAAGGGCATGACAATGCTCCTGAGCAAGGCAGACCACAATAGGATGAAGCACCAAGCATTATTCACACTCATGTTGTCAGCGACTCAACATTTTTGTAGAAATTTTTTTCTCTGGTACATCTCTATATTTATTTTAGTCAGGGAACACCTTATTTTCAAGATTTTGATTTGGGGTCTTCCATGGGTGGTGGGGAGGGTCTAAAAATTTAAAGGGTCTAAAATTCCAGATTTTTTTTTATGTCATAAATGGATGATTACTAATCCCCTTTTGCCAGATTTTAATATTCACCATTTGCAAGATTTCAATAATAGCTAATTGTATTAGTAAAAATTACTAACCCACACGTCCGGTTGAGGCTGATATTTCCACCTTTGAGAACCACTAAAGGGTTTTCAGTTTCAAGTAAGTTATTAATGCAGCCTATGTACTCTTCACAGCTTTTTTTCATAGCTGTCAGGTGTTCTCCAATAAATTCATTATAGGTGCCTGCTAAACAATGATACAGTCGTCAAATAAAAATAATTTTGGTCTTTGATAGAAGTAATGGACAGCTTTTTAGTTACATCATTAATTGATTGACTGATAGATGACTTATTCATTTTTGATCACAACCAGCAAGATGTAAGGAACAAGGGGGATAACTACTCTATACACAGTGATTGCTCCTTAACTAAGCCAAGCCCTCAGAAATTAATCAATATCCTTTGGCCTATGCTTGTCAATGCACAAATAAATAAGTACACATATGAGAGATTTTAGTAAGAAAAAAAAACAACATATTTTTAGCAAAGAGAATCACAAAGACAGTGAACAAAATTGTACTTATTTTTAAAAAGAGAAACAGATACAAATATTTTTAAATGGAAAAAGGAAGAAAAAACTTTAATCTCACCTAAGGTTTCACAGCGTTGTTTTTCTGTGTTTTGGTCCATTATTCTATCTGTATTTTTTCCTTCTAGTTCTTTTTAGGTGAACAGTATCTGTAATCATATTAACAGTACCTATAATTATATTTTGTATTCATATTAAATACATAACTACAGTAACAATAGTAAGTGAACCTACATCAATCTTTTATGATGTTATGATAATCAGATAATGTATAAAAGGGGTTTAATGTTGATAATAGTAGGGAATGTTAGGTTGATAATAGTAGGTGTTTATGTTGATAATAGTAGGTGTTTATGTTGATAATAGTAGGGGTGTTATGTTGATAATAGTAGAGGGCGTTATGTTGATAATAGTAGGGGTGTTATGTTGATAATAGTTAAGGGCGTTATGTTGATAATAGTAGGGGTGTTATGTTGATAATAGTAGGTGTTTATGTTGATAATAGTAAGGGGTGTTTGGTTGATAATAGTAGGGGGGTGTTGGGTTGATAATAGTAGAGGGTGTTGGGTTGATAATAGTAGGGGTGTTTGGTTGATAATAGTAGGTGTTTATGTTGATAATAGTAGGGGTGTTTGGTTGATAATAGTAGGGGTGTTTGGTTGATAATAGTAGGGGTGTTTGGTTGATTATAGTAGGGGTGTTAGCTTGTTAATAGTAGGGGTGTTAGCTTGTTAATAGCAGGAGGTATTAGGTTGATAATAGTAGAGGTGTTAGGTTGCTAATAGTAGGGAGTATAAGTTTGATAATAGTAAAGTATTTTTATCTTTCTATAGACTAATACTAACTATAACCAAAAACATAGTCATATCTCTAGCCCTATCATGTTGTTTCTACTAAAAAAAAAGTAGGTTGTGGCAAACGGATAATTATTTTAATGTGTTTTTTTTGGAGGACCAGAACTGGCTGTCTGAACAATCACTGTCAGATGACACTTTGATTCATTTCAGATGAGATAGAGACTACATTAAAGACTACACAACAAAATTTTCCAAGAGGAATGGACTTTATATACATATCATATAGATCTATACATCTATTACATGTAGATTCTAGTATAGATTTATCATTTCCAGGACCCCCACACACACTTAAGCCAGTTGTGTAAACCTATTTATTGTTATATTATAGAAGCCTAATACCACAACCACAATTTACAGTCATTAAAGTATTTAAAGCAATCAAAATGATAAACACCATATATCCCCCAAATCACATGAATGAAATTACTCATTACTAAAAAGAAATAAGAAGGTCTAGATCTATCATCCACTTGTTTATTTTAAACTCATTATCTAACTCAGTATTTCTTTTAGACTTTTTATCGGCGGACGTGGACGACGACACTGGTAAGAGTAGACATAGAATCTAGATCTAGTAAAAGAATAGGGGTCTAGATCTAGATCTATATAATTATATATTTTCTACTAGATCCTATTTCGTTTTTTTTTTTGGGGGGGGGGGGGAGAGAGATAAGAGATGCCTGAACTAAAAAATAAACCTAGATCTAGATCTAACCTAAAAAAACTAAATTCTAGGCCTAAAATTACTGTGTAACTTTTGTACAGTGAAATATTATTATTTTAAAAATAAGCATGAATGACATATTTAAATTGAAGTTGTTGGTCAATGAATCATTTGTTATTATGATTGTCATTTCCTGGTCAGAGAGGCCAGGTATTGGAGGTGAAATAAAAAAGTTGGAAGTTTTTTTGCCTGTTTTTATAATATACCGTAGGCCTCACAGACCTCTAGATCTAGAATCTAGTCAAGATATTTTATGCTTTTCTGTTGATACGGGATATTTCGGCCTTGTCGTACGCTTCACTGAAAACGCGAAACAGTCTATTATAATCATTGAATAATGTTGAAATAACGACGAGAAGGAAGAGAAACGAAAGCGGCCTACCTCTCACCTTGCTGTGTGTGTATCCATATCCGATGGTGACGCTACTGGTCGGGACGTCCCAGCAGGCGTGTGTGACACAGGTAGCAACACGGACGCGGGATTGGCGACAAACACCGAGACCGAGACCTATTATTATTTGTCCCACGAACTCAGTTATTTGTAGGTAGGTCATGACCTGGTAACGTTGGGGGCGACCTGAGATGAAACTGTAACCCCCGAGATACTACAATAGGCTCATTATTTTGATAGGTTGGGGGGGGGGGGGGGGGGTAGTGCCATAGATGACATGACATCATACATCCATGTTAACTTAATTGCGTAACCAATTTTCATAGGCCTTATATTGGCTTATATAGACATACAAACCTAACCTTAATCTCAATGTTAGGCTACACACACACACACACACAAAGAGGGGGGGGGGGGGGCTGGCTTTTGGTGCATAGTTTCTTTCAGGTAGCTTTTCGATCAATTATGGTTAAGTAATATTTTGTACGAGCCGACCCGCGGTGTATCATACGCCGCTATTTAGTTGTTGTTTTTTTTTTCTACTTTTCAGTAATTCATAATTTGTGAATTCGACAGTACTAATGCTGCCACTGAAAATATTTACTTTAAAACACTAAACCCCCCCCCCCCCCCCGTGAAAAGCCTCCTCTTAGTTACCTTCTCTAAGTTTAAAATCGTTTCAAACTAAATTATCTGCCCCTAATAGCCGTCACCGAACCCGGCTCTACGATTGTAAAATGTAAACATTTAGCGTGAACTACAGCTCACCAGACTATGTGAGGGGGGGTGGGGGGGTGGTAGCGATAGAGAGGAAGAGAGGGGACTGCAAGGCGCGCTTGCAGCTTGTTTTCTAACGTCTCCCAGAAGAGAATTATATATATAGATTGGTTGACATTGACAAGTCGAAACATCACAGAGGAGGGATGATGGTGGTAGGTCAATAATATAGTCACTGAAAATTACAAAAGCGTAGCATTTTTAGATAGAGGCCTAATGTTTGCAATATATTATAGGCCTGCATGATACAGTGCCATGTTGGGTCCAGTGTTTCTTCCAGACTTTTTTCTCCGGGGGGGGGGCACTTGAAATTTTCGGGGGGGGGGGGGGGGGGGGGGGACGGGGGACACTGTTAAAAGTATATATTTTCTATATAAATTATATAAATTTCATTTCGTTGGGGGGGGGGGGGGGGCGGTAAAAAAATTTCGGGGGGGGGGCTTTGCTGGTTGGGTCCAGATATGTCTTGCAGCTGCACCAATGCAGTGGTCCACATTATTGTAGCAATATTTAACACAAGTCTGCCATCATGTTATGTTAGATACAGATATTTTTGCAGCTCTACACTGCAGTGGTCACACGGGGTGGTCCACATTATTATAATATTATTTAACACGAGCGGCGTGTGGCTGGTGATATGCATCAAGTTTTAGTGCGCTAAATGGGGGTATTATAGATCTGTATAAAGTTGTGGTATACAGCAATGATAAATAACACCGCAATTGATTTTTCTCCTTATTATTTGCG